ACACACACACACACACACACACACACACACACACACACACACACACACAATGTCTTTATCCATTCATCCACTGATAGACACTTAGGTTGCTTCCACGTCTTGGCTGTTGTAAAAACTGCTGCATCAGAACACGAGGGAGCATACATCTTTTTGAGTTAGTGATTTCATTTTCTTCAGATAAATACCCAGAAATAGAATTGCTAGATCATATGGTAATTCTATTTTTAATTTTGTTGAGGAATCTCTATAATGTTTTTGCATAGGGACTGCACCCGTTTACATTCCCACCAACAGGACACAAGTGTTCCCTTTTCCCCAGATCCTTGCCATCACTGGCTATTTCATCTTATATTTTTGGTAACGGCCATCCTAACAGTTGTGAGATGTCATCTCATTGTGGTTTTGATTTGCATTTCCCTGATGATTAATGATGTTGAGCATCTTATGTACTTGCTGGCCATCTATATGTCTTCTTTGGAAAAATGTCTCTTCAGATTGCTCACTTTTCAATCAGGTTGTTTTTCTGCTATTAAGTTGTATGAGTTCTGTATATATTTTGGATATTAACCTCTTATCAGATGTATGATTTGCAAATATTTTCTACCATTTAGTAGGTTGCCTTTTCATTTTGTTGGTGGGTTTCTGTCACTGCGCAGAAGCTTTCAGTATGGGGTAGCCCCACTTGTTTATTTTTGCTTTTGTTGCTTTTTGGTGTCAAATTCAAAAAATCATTTTCTGTTTTCTGTCTGTGTGTTGAAATTCTTACTTTGTCCATCCACTTTTCTCCTAGGCTCAGTGCATATATTTATGACCATTATTCCGATATCAGGTAAATTTCTTTATCAGGTATAAAATTCTTTATCAGGTCAATAACTTACCTTGGTTTCATTAAGGTCTGTTTCTGAGGTTTCATCTCATTCTTTTGCTTGGAATATATTCCTCTGTTTCTTCAGTTGCCTTGACTGTCCCTGTTGGTTTGTGTACAGTAGATGAAACCACCACCTCTCCCAGTCTTGAAGGTGTGACATCATGTAAGAGCTGAAACTTGACATTCGGTCCTGCCCCAACTCTGTCATATCTCACATCTTGTGCTTGTCCAAGCTGCCTATTGTATTTTTAATAGCTCCTGATGGTAGAAAATGTGTAAGGGGAGATCTCAGCACCGATATTAAGGCTGTTTGAAAGCCAGACTCTCAGGCAGCAGCTTTTAAATGTATGCAAATATATATAGTCCTGTGGCACCACAAGTATAAATCTTGCTGGCCAGGGGATCTGGCCATGTCCGCTGCATAGCAGTTGCAAAACTCAGGGCTCCAGGAAAGTATGTAAGTTCTTTTCTGGGAGATACTGGTGAGCTGCAGCAAGGTAGTGGGAGGGCAGCATAATGGTGTCCCCCCCTTATGCTCCTAAGAGCAGCTCCTAGGCCACTGGATGTGTGTCAGACCTGAAGCCTGCCCTTCAGACAGAAGCTCCGGAATAAGCCAAGAGGGTCCTTCACAGAAAGACTTGGGGGTGTGCCCTGGGGCTGCAGCTAGCCAAGAACCATGTCTGTGATTGCCACAGTCCCATGGGACCCAGGAATGCAAACCCCCCTGGCCAGCAGAGCCAGCTCCTTGGGTGGCAGCCGAGAAACAAACACCAAGGTAGCAGCCATGTGGAAAGCCCCCCTCCAGGAGACACCACAGCTCTGGAGCAAAGCAGAGGCAAAAATGTGAAGATAGCACCCGCCCCAAGGGCTCTAGAAAGGATTGCAGCTGTCCCTAGGTTTGTGTTTAATTAGAAGATTGCCCCTCAGGCCACAGCCATGCCGATTAGCTACCTGGCTTCCTTCACAGAAAGACCGAGCTCCTGGGTCTGGTCCCTGGCTGTGCTCTGGGACCGTAGCTGTTTGAGAACTCTTACTCCATTGGTTACAGTCCTGTGGGGCCCTCAAGCAGAAGCCGCACTGGCGGCCAGAACCAAGGGATCGGTGTCCTCTGGCAGCGGCTGCAAAACTCAGGGCTCCAGACAGCGGTATGAGCTCCTTTCTGGGTAGCATCTATTCTTACAGTTCCGTGAGACCAGGAATGCGAGCCCCAATGGCCTCCACAGCCAGGCCGTCAAGAGGCATCCTCTAGTGGCAGCCATAAAGATGGGTGACCAGATGTGTGTAACAGCTCTCTTCCAGGAGCTACTGGCGTCCTGGAGCACAGCAACAGGAGAGCATGGAGATGGCCGCTGCCGCTCTGTCCCCCGAAAGTGCTCAGCAGGCTCCTACGTGTATGTGTTAAATTAGGCACCTGCCGCTCTGGCCTAGCCTTTAACATAACAGGTGAGCCTCTTACACTTTAAGTCTGGGCACAACCAACCAGAATTTAATTGGGTGTAAAATCACTTTTCTCCTTCCCTTATAAAGGATACAGCCCACTGGATTACTTTTAAATCTACTTAGACAAACGCACTGTTGCATCTGGAGCTTATTGAACCCTAAAATTTTGGAGGACTTTTAGACATCTAACATTTTATTTCTAGAATTCCTGTGTTCTGAAATGACTATGTTAAAGTATAAGAAGGCTAGCTGGTTAGTGATATAATTGTATATACATGTTCATTGGGTTACTTAAAAACAGTTGGGTATTAAAAATTCAATGGAAATTTGGTTGAAATGTAAATACCCCAAACGGGTGATTATTGCACTTTGCTGCGTGCCTTACATCTGTCTTCTAGACGATCTGCCCAAGGAGCACGGTGTGACCACTGCTCTTTCCTGCTTCCTTTCCCTCCTTTCTCCTCCTGTTCCTGCTCCTCTTCTTCCCGACTTATTTTTCCTTCTTAATAGAAACCATTCCTTCATGCAAAAGTCTGCCATATAACATGGACAATATTGCCAGGCTGATAGGATATCATGTGTTTTCATGAATGTAGAGACAGTGGCAGTTTCTGTTTGTAATTCAAAGTTAATTAACTTTAGCCACGGTTAAATCCAAGGGTATATCCCAGGCCTCCTGCCAACTTGGGTTTCTTGTTAAAATTGGAGCTGACCATCTCATCCCTGCTTTCTTTTGTTTTTAACCTCTTTACATGGCACAGCCTAGGTGCTGTCTTAAATATTCCAGAGGTCAAGTGCTCTAACACCATGGACATCATGAAAGCGCATGAGCCGTGCTTTGTGGAGTGCCATGGTCTTATTTAGGAAGTATTTAAACACTTTCTCAAACTGCAAAATATAAGGATGGGATGAAGGCATTGCAAAAAGAAAAGGATGCAAAATTTTTTTGGCTGTCCTACTGAGAAACTAACATTTAAACCCAAAGTTGGTTTTGAATTTAAAAGACAAAAAAAAAAAAACTCAGTTCCTGTTTATTCAATTTAGCAGATGTGGATGTACATTTATTGCCTATTATGTCATAAACAATGACTGATACTTTGAGGGCCCCTGATGCACAAGATTATCGAGCTCCCTTCCCACAAAGGTCACAGTCTAAATAAGGCAGACAAGCAAACACTAGTAATATAGTTAAAAAATTGGCATAACAGAGGTTACACAAGGGCATATATGGTAGATGTAGTATTCAAATAATGTGTATTGGATAAGTGATCAAATGAATGAGTGAATGAGTGGGAAAACAAATATGGCACAGATAGCAGATACACAACCTTCTATCTAATCGTTGACTGGCATGGTCTTCCCAAAGGAAGAAATTAAAAGTTAGTCTAGAAAATAGAAAATGTGTGCTCAAAGCCGAGGGCCACCCACTGGATTCAAGAAACTGCTAGAGGCTGAATAAATTGCAAAGGGCCAAGTCTTAGAGGGGACTTGAGATGTGGGAGGGAGTCAGGGCAGGCGAAGTGTTGTGAGGCCTCCCTGAGGGTGTTGAAGATTGTTTAAGGGGACTGGGGGTTCAGGAATTAGCTCAGTGTCTATAAAATAAAATTAAGACTTCAAGGCTGTAATAATTTGACTTAGAGTGTCACAGTCTCCCTAACATGTCTGCTGATTCTTCTACATTAGTATGTATGAGATCATGACCTAATTCTCCTGGTAAAACTCAAAATATAATAGAGATACAATCAACAGAAAAAAAAACTGCCCTAATGGAGTTTGTTAAATGGAGTACATTGCTAAAACCTGTAACCCCAAGGACAATGAAATCAACATGTAAAATAAAGTCAATTTATTTAAAAAATTGGTCCAAAATATCAGGAAAAAAACAAACTTGGGAAGGAACAAAGTGTCACAAATGACCCCACATTATCCCCATCCTGTTGCTTTTAGGTATTCTAAATGGTGTTGCTTTATTTAAATGGGTTACCTGGAAGTTCTAAAAAAAGCCTTCCCCACCTGCTCAAACCCCTACTTTTAGACTGTTTGAGGTGGGAGGGGTAAAGGAATGGAAGGGTCATATGGACAAGGAAACTGCTAAGATAATCTTGCACATGAATTATTCAAAAATATTTCTTGAGTGTCTACTCAGTATTTCCTCAGAATAGTTTTACTATTCTAATCTTTCTCTGACTCTAATTCTAATCTAGAGACATTTGAGATCCTTTCAACAAAGTTTCTCAACATCAAACTATACCTGTTATTAATAGCATTACTTTACATCATTGATAAATATTGTATAACATATTGGAAATAAAACCAAGTATGAGAAACTAGTTTAAATACCTCAAGTCAAACTAGTAGTTCTGTGAATTATTTAAAAACAATACAGTAGGTGCTAATACCATACTTGATTATTTGACACAATACATTACATTGCCAAGTGCCGAAAGTCATTTTATTTTCTGATGCTCTGTAGCTCACAAAGAAATAAAAAGAAATTAAACAGACAACAATTTAGTCGCAATTGTCAGAATGAATGGAGATATATAGACCAAATATTATGAATAGTAAACCAACTGGAAATGATTCAACTTGTAAATACTATTTTGGGCATGAATCCTATTTTGAATATTATTTAAGCATAACTTTACAGTAATGCACTTCTTATTTCTACACTGAGGCACTGTCTTATTGAATAACATCCATCAGTTCTCCCATAAATTCCCATTGAAAGGATTATTTACAAGTGGTGGGAAAAGTCTAAAGTTTGATAGGGTTAAAGTTGTAGAAAGAAGTTTTATGCTTTAGAACATCTATGAAAAAAATTAAGCTTCTATAAGGCATAATTCCAGAGGTTTCTAAATTTTTTTGGTAAATTGCTAACATTCCCAAAAGGGATAAAAGAGATATGACAATTTCTTCTATTTTAGAATCAAGCTTTTTATAAACAATTGAATCATTTTTCCCTTTATTTTGCATATTTTTAACACTTTTAAATGACTTTCCCAGACTCAGTAGTGGACTGATGAGCTTCTTTTTAAATTTATTAATTAATTAGTACAATCATTAATTGGTCCCTGGATTTAGGAAGAACTGTCCTATCTCATGGATATGCCACCTTTTTGTGCCTCCCAAATGTATAGATTGACTTACCAAGAAACAGCTACAAAAGCAAGACACGTTGTAGCAGAGACAATAATTTGGAATGGGCTAATAGGTGGGTTTCTGGTCTTAATTTAAATGGCTGTTTTATAAATCTACATTTCAAAGCATTTCTATTTGCATAGAAATCAGTGGTGCGAAATCACTGGGAAGAAAAACAGTTATTGGCAAAACTGACTTTAATGTCATTCTATTTTATGTTAAATGTTTCAACATTTAGATTGTGAATGTCAGAATGTGATGACTATATATTACTTTAACTCTCACATACTTTTTGATTTCTTACGGCTTATTTAGGCCATCAATAAGCAACCGAAGTTCTGCTTATCATTATTCTGGCATTTTCCAAAGCAGTTTGGCATCAAGAGATCTGAATATGGAAAGTCAAATACAGAAAGCATCCACCTCGGCAGTTATTTGATTTGGCAAGAAACAGGGAGCCTCTATCCTCTGTCCTTCCATGAGTGCCTCCAAATGTCAAGAGTGATCTTGGGAATTTCCTGTGTGGAATCCTCTGTTTGAGGCTGAGGCATAAACTGTAGACCAGGCAACCACTTATCACCTCATTGATCTGACAAACTAAATGCAAGGGGTATTTTGGGGTACTATGTAGCAATTGCTGGTCACAAAACAACAAAAAACCCAAAACTTTACATATTAAGCATTTGTATCAAAGTTTTAACCTTAAAAATAATGGTTGATTCATTTTGGACCAAAACTGATGTGCTGAGATTTTTGCAATTCATAGAATCTCAAACTTTTAGAACTGAAAAGTGGCTTCTAGTGCTAGTCTCTCTTTTTGTGAATCAGAAAACAGTGGCCAGAAAAAATGGAAAGAAATACAAATGGTAATAGTGCTTATGTTAGGAGGTTAAAGTATGGATGGTTATTTGTCTTTTACTACCACTGTATATAGGGGTGATAGTATTTTTTTAATGACAAGAAGTATTATTTTAAATGCGTGAAGCAATTGCAAGGATCCTTTCAAATGCATCTTCCACTTTTTAGGCGGAGTCTGCTGAGAAACTTAGGGAATATGGCCTTTCCCACATCTGTAGCCATCCTGTGCTGGTGACCAGAACTAGATCTTGCCCCCTTACAGCGCCACCGAAACCACCCCCTGTTCCTCCCTGGAAACTATTTCGTCAAAAAAAAGAAACTGTTATAACAGATGAAGCTCAAGGTATGGTTCATGTTGTCTGAAAATCTTTCTGATTAACATTTTTCTATAAGAAGATCTAATAGTTTCATTTGTAATGAAAGATGTTTATCAAGGCAAACCACCCAACATTACATTTTAAAGCCTACATTTAATTTTATGTCTGCATTTTGCGTCTTTAAAGAATTAGTTCTCCACATCTCAGAAGCTGAGAAGTTTGGTTCACATCTGAACTAGCCAGATATATGAAGGCCATTCTTTGGGGGACAGCATTGCTATTCATATCGTGATAGAAAGGTGGTTTATAGCAAATAATATAGAAACTTAAATAGTATTTGTTAAGCCACTGGTGTGGATTTCTAACTCGGTAATCACTGTAGAGTATCCTGTGGAATAAAACCTTTGAATTAACTAATTTATATTTAGAATATAAACTGATATATATATATATTTAGAATATAGGAATAGAACTTCAGCTGAGACCTGGCTCCTGTCTTAATATTGTCATATGGCTGTAATGAATGGAAGTTGTCCTCAGAAATAACTAGGTTCACATGGGTTAAGAATGGGGCAGGGGACTATTCCCACCTTGTTCTTATTCTCGCAGTTCATTCCTAAATTCCTCACAATCCATAATTCTTCATTTCTTCAGTGTTTCTCTTTGCAAGTCTTCATGCTTACTCCTTTTTCTCATGAGCACCAAGTTTGAATGGAATAGAGACCAAGGTGGCAAGAGAAGAAATGCGAGATCATAAGTGAGAACTAAATTTTAAAGCAGAAGCATGAACACACAAGGAGAGGGGATTTCAAAAAGAAAAATCAATAATTAAAAAATTATGGCTTAGCAGAATAAGTCATTATCTGTTCATTTTTATTCAACATACATTTCATTTCTGTAGGTAATTTAGCACTTGGAGTTTTTATGAATGATGATCAAAGAATTGGAGTGCTAATGGATCATATACACATATATGTGTGTATGTGTGTATGTGTATATCTGTATATATGTCTCATTCCAGAAACTTAAATGATCTTTGTTCAAAACAGCTTTTTGTATTATGTCTTTTGTGTTCATTTCTTTGCTTTTTCATTTTCCTCCTTTGTCTTTTCTCATGCCTCATTATTTTCTAATTGTATCCGTCTAGCAGCTGTACATTAAATTCTAGAGGTTGTGTTAGGGGCTGTGCTAGGAGTCCTGTTGTCCTGTTGCCTGAATGTACAATGAAGGCAAATCTATAATGAACATACCTAGTGCCAGTTTAGTGAAGGCATCGCTGCAAAGGTTATAGATACACTTCAAGCACTTGGTCCCAACCATGGCTGGTACCCGTACTGGTGACACTTGCCATGCCACCAACTCATGTTGCTGAGCCTCATTGCAGATGACCAGAGAACCATATTTCTGTCACATACAAGTAATACTTAAATCTCAGTGGTACTCAGGTCCCTGAAACTCCAACAGCCACCTAGGATGGAATATTACCTGTTCAGTTCCTCCTACTTCCAACCATAATTTATGTTTTAAAATATAAATAACAACTGTTAACCATGTAATTTTCCTAACATTTGCTTTCTGCCTACATTGATACAGCCAGCACAGCTTGTAGCCAAGATTTTCTAGCACAACATGTTTCATCCTTGCCAGAAAAGAACAAAGATTAAAGAAATAATCTGCTCTGGATAGAAAGGAGAAATGGTCAATTCACTTTCTATTAGGCCGACCCGTCTCTCTCTCTCTCTCTCCTGCTTGCTTGTTTCAGTCATTTTTTTACACTCCTTTAGTTTCTGCAATGGTTGTCGGTGCCAGCAAAGTGCCAACTGCTGCTTTGGGTCACAGGAACTTCCCAGTGTTTCTCCCTCCCCACTTTCTATCCTCCCTCCCCACCTCCCACCCTCCCTCCCTCCCTGTTGTCTTTTGTCTTTCTGATCCAAAGATCAGCCTTCATAGGATGCTTGAAAGAAAATCTTTTGCTTTTAAATGCTATATTTTAGTTAAGTGCATAGAGCCACAGTTAAAGCAGTTGTTCATTCTGAGCTTCAAGAAATAGCTGAATGAAAGGAAAAATACTGAATATACAAGGCGTTTTCTGGGTTTGCTACTGATTGCTGTGCAATTCTGTGTAAGTGACAGCTCCATTGTAAGCTGGGGAAGAAAAGCTAAGCACTGGTGGGATTCCGTAACTGTGGTGTCCCACCTCAAGGCTCACCATATAATTGTCTTTCTTCTCTCCACTGGGTTTAATATTTATGGTGAAAATCAATAGGAAATGAAGAGAGAGGGATCCTTTTTAGAGGTTAACATGGAACAAGCACGAAAAAGTCAGGCGCCAAAGCCTCATATTTTTCTTTCCAGTGGGCAACTGTTCCACCTTCGTAGGAGCTTTTGATAAAATGCTCAGCCCTAATGTTTAATTCCCATACATGGTCTGTGTCCCTTATCCATGGAGACTTTCATACCTCTGATCAGCTTCAGATTCCTCCAGGAGTGTCTACAGAGCCTTTCTGGACCCACTGCTTTCTTTTCTACTCATGACTTTTGCTTTTGTTACATTTTCTGTTCTTCCCCTGCTATCTCCTTGTACATATCCACATTTCCTCTTCCTGTCCTGCATCATTGTGTTGTAGAGGTTAGGTAAAATAGCATATTTCTTAGTAAAAGATTGTTATAGGAAGTCATCCCCGTACTTGAAATAGCAGCGAATACCAAGTAGTAACTCTGGAAGACATCACTGACTTTCTCCCTTGGTCTCCCTTGTTTCACACTGTAAATCTGGAAAGCAACTGGAATGGACAAACGAAATCTAACCTTGACAGGACCTATAAAGCCTTTTCAGTAAAAGACCTAATGTATTCCATTCCTATTTAACTCTATCAAAATTTACTGGGTAATAGTTAAATCTCATCAGTACTGCATTAAATGTTAAGTTCTGCATATAATCTTGGAAAGTTAAAAAAAGAAGTACATCACCCTGACCGTTTCTTTTTAGAATTGATAATAAAGAAGCCTGAACAGTTTCTTGAGATTTCAAGTCCATTTTTCAATCACAGAATGACTCCCTTTACAATTCCAACAGAAACGTAAGTATAGAATATTCTCTCCCACAAACATATCTTGAAACAACTGAATTATTTTGTAATTTGTGTGGTTAAAAATTTATGCTTTGGTAATCAAGGTACTAAGGTTTGTGTCACTGCAGTGATTATAGGAAAATGTTAGGTTCTATTTCACGGTAATAAATAGTGAAGATAAATTTTGAATTGTTTAAATTAAGGCCTAAATATGTCTGGCTTTACAATGAGATATTTTGTTTTACTTAAACATGAGCATTAATGAGTATTTTTGGTTATTATCCATTAATTAAATCAAAGGACCAGACGATTGTCATAGAAACCTGGGAGATGGAATGTGTCACTCCTAGACACAAGTAAAAAAAGAAACTTATTAACTACAATAACAAAAATGAAGAAGAAAAAGGAAGAAGAAGATAATGAGGAAGAATCCAAATTTACTATTTGAATCTGATCATCAGGGTAGAAAGAAAGACTATGGTCTTAGGTCTACAGTTTTTAATGAGTTCAGAGAAGCAACCAGGAAGTACAGAAATAGCAATAATGAGCAGGGCTTGTGGGTGATATGAATGGAGGATATGATTATTACCATTAAAATTGTGGTAATTTGTTATACAGTGATAACTAATACATGAATATATACATATATCCAGGATCATCAAATTTATACTTTGGAATTGTATAGTTAATTGCACTTCAGTTATCTCTCAATTAAGTTGTAAAATATAAAAATAAGTAACACTGTAAAATGGTCTAGAAAATCAGTAAGAATTTTAGAGCTGAGGAATACAATAAATGAAATGAAGAATTCAATGGATATATTTAATCACAGAGTAGATACAGCAGAAAAGACAATTAGCAAAATGGAAAATAGGGCAGAAGACAATATCCAAACTGAAGCATGGAGACCAAAAAGAAAAAAAAAATAGAGGAAAATTACAGTAAAAGACATATAGGACAAGTTGAGAAAGATCAACATATTTGCAAGTGAGTCTTGGATGTAGAGGATAGAGAGATTGGGGAATAATCAAAAAATAAAAATGTAGTTGCCAGAATTATCCCAAAAATAAAATATCAAGATTCAGAAAGTTCTAAAAAACATCATGCAATGTAAATATGAAAAAAATTACAGCTAGATAAATCATGTTAAACCAAAGACAAATATAATACAATAAAACATAGATATAAAGTAAAAGAAATACTGCTACATAATGAATTTGGATGAATGTTTCATAAATATTAGACCAAAGAAGTTTGGTACAAAAAGTTCACGGTTTGTTTTTAATTATTCTATTTGCATACATTAAGAAAAGAAAAATTAAAAGCAAGATATGGTGTTGGAATTCTTAATGGGTACCTATGGGGAGGAGTATTGCCTGTGATTGGGAAGCACTTCTGGCAAGGCTTGTGGGGCACTGGTAGTATGAATATCCCTTGATCTGAATAATAGTGATATGGTCATGTTTACTTTGTGATATTTTCAACAAGTTTCACATTTATGATTTGTATACTTTTTAAAATATATTTTGATCTTTAATAAAACTTTTCTAAAATGTTTGATTGGTTTGTATTATAGGTCACACATACAATAACCATGGTTCAGCCTTCTCATGGGTCTATTAAGATCCATAATAGGAATATAAGCTGATGAAGAAAAGCAGTCAAAATTTAGATCAGAAGTCTGTTCATTGTATTATCTTATTTGTAGAGCATCTTCACATCATAGCCAGTTAATTTGCTTTTTATGGGCTCTTTTTAAGTTGCAAATATTAGTGATATTTTTCAAATCTTGTCCCATTAAGGCTCCTGTCAGTTTTGGGCATCAACAATTGAAAGCTGAAAAGTGGGTGAGCAGGGGCCTGGAGGCAGCACTCGCAGTGACAGTTAGCAATGTCAGAACATGAGGGACATCTTTATAAACAGAAAAAACAATTTTCTGTTAACTTTGGTTTGAAAAATTTGTTGCTATTGTATATTTGTAAATCTGGTTTTACTCAAACTTGCATTTTAACTTATAATAAATATTACACATCAATCTATTAATTTCTATAATAGTTTTAAATACGTTTAGTTAGGTGAATTTATTTAAACATTTTAATTGCATTTACAGTATTACTGTATTTTATGTTCTCTTTAAGTACTTTAAAAGCCAAAATCATAGCAAATAAAATCCTGCCAAGTATTTAAACCATTATAAAAGTTCAAATAGTCAAACTCGTGTATTTTGAGAACCTTAATTTTTCCTATGTATTCTCAGGTCAACATAAGAGTGTGTCCTCTTTTTGGCAAGCCTTTGAGTGTGACTACTTTCACAACTGCTTTTCACTGGACACTGTCATAGCAAGTTGCCAGATTCGCCCTGTCTTGGCTCCTGGCCTCGTTTCACAGAATCAGAGCATCACAGATATGTTTGTGCTGCCCTCTAGTGGCAGTTTCAGCTAAATCAGAGCCGTTTAGCTTCAGATGAATTAAAAAGCTTTCCTGATCATAGCAAGGAAACCAAGTTCAGGAAGTCTGAGTACATAAAACTTTGAAACATACTTACCTAAAATATATATACTGTAACAGATATCTCTTTATTGTGCCTATAAACCTCTAGCTATGACAATGGTGATTTGAGGTCATATCAGCAATTATTTCAAAGAAAATACTGTACAGTTGGGTAGCTAGCATGAATGCCAGTTATAAACTTAAGGGCTCAAGACTCATAATTAAATTTATGACTGTGAACCTTATTTTACTGATACATTACTCTGATACTTAGATCAATTATAAATGTTAAATTCCTATGTTCTGATCATCTACATTCAGGGATGACCACCACAGCTTTAAAACAATGTTCCAGAAAATTCTTAAAGCAACGCATCAACTGATAGAGAATATTTCTTCAGTAGTATAGAAATCAATTCACTGTTTTACACATGAAACAAAAAATACTACTAGTTATAAAAAAATGAGAATGATGAAATAAAATCAGAACTTTCTGTTGTTGACAAAACTGCAGTTATTTAATATACAATGGAATACAATCAACCATAAACAGAAGGAGGTTTTGCCATTTGTGCCAATGTGGATGGACTGTAAGGGCTTTATGCTAAGTGAAATAAGTCAGACAAAGACAAATAATATGATCTCTCTCACAGAAAAAAAAAAACACTATAAATACAAGAGAACAAATTGGTGGTTGCCAGAGGCAGTGGGTGGGAGAAAAATGAGTGAAGGGGGTCAAAAGGTACCAACTTCCAGTTATAAAATAAATAAGTTCTGGGGATGTAATGTACAACACTGTAGTTAATAATACTGTATTGTATATTTGAAAGTTGCTAAGAGAGTAAATCTTAAAAAGTTCTCATCGTAAGGAAATAAAATTGTCACTGTGTGATGATGGATGTTTAAACAGAATTGTGTTGATAATTGTGCAATATATATGAATATTGATGTTATACTGTGCACCTGAAACAAATATGTTATGACAATTGTATATCAATAGTCTGCTATTATTTATTACTAACTTAAACAAGAGATTACAGTAACAGAAGTTTTGTGGGTTTTTTTCCATTAGTCATTTTGTACAATCTTTTATTAACAAAAGGGTGCCTCCACGATCTGATTTATTTTCCATTGCTGAAAATGATGAAAACTTAACCCAAAGCCAGCCAGACTTAAGTCTACCAACAAGAGCTGCATCTCAGGTAATTACAATACTCTTATTAATGGCCCAATTCCTAATTTTAAGATATTTTTTCTTAAATTGTGAAATGTGCACGAAAAGAATGTAGCACATGCATCAAAACAGAATAAAGAATACTATTAAAATGAGGCTCTTATGTATCCATCATCTAGATTGGAGAATGGAATATTCATCTTCTATACACGTCCTCTGTGTGTCTCTTACGGGATGTATCTTCTATCTGCCATTCAGAGTTTGGTATTAATCAGCTCTATACTCTTCTAATTTTGCCAATTATATTGACATTTATAAACAACATACAACATAGTTTAATACTTAAAAGATTTATTTAAATAGCCTCATAATCATTCTTTTGGGACTTCTTTCATTGTTGATGAAATTTATTTTGTTGGATGCTTCAGGTCACTCATTTCATTGGTAGAAGGTATTTAATGTACAACTAGGTTACCTTTTTTTTAAATCTTTTACAATGTTAGTGGTTATATTTATTGCTTCTTGTTTTCTATTATTGTAAATAGTGGTGCCATGACTATTCTTGAATGTCCATGTGCACATGTGTGAGAGTTTCATTGGTTTCAGGGTTTGTAAACTTTTATGTGTTTGGCTCTCTTTGTCAGTTCTCTAAAACTTTAAAGCACAATGAAAGCAACTTATCTGTTTCTGCATATTAATTAGGTGTTGTAGATAGGGAACAGGGGAAAGCAAGATAGCTGTCTGGGTTAGCACTGTGAGAACACACAACTTCACTATTTGGTGGTTGAATGACTGCCATGTATGGTTGCCAGACAACTGGCCAGTCCGGTCATGGGAGGATCTGTAGACCAGAAAATATGCCCACATGAAATATAACAATAACTGCTGTGATTTCAAGGCAGTAGTCAGCATACATGACATTTTAAGATATTTGCAACAATTGCAATGTAATATGATTTGTGGATAAAGTCATGGTTATTGTTAATAGCGTGTGGCTACTCACCTGCATTAATAAATTGATACTTGAAGAAAATGCTGAACTTCAGCTAAAAATAATGTTTTTTGGTGATCCATGTTCATGAAATCCTGAAATCTAACCATGGTGCCCCAGTGGAAACTAGGAAGCCCTGCTCTAGCATATGAATCTGGGAGTATAATAAATGGATCATAAGGCATTCACCTGTTTAGCCTTACAATAAAATGCCAAACAGTTTTCCAGTATGGGTGTATCAATGTCCACTCCTGCCAGCACTAGATGAGAATTTCCTTCATACCACATCCTAGCCAACATTTACATTTTTTGTCTGATGTTTCAACTTTTGCCTGTGTGTTGGGTGTGAAGGGGTATTCATTTTTTGATAGGTAATACATTCACTTGTTCAAAAACAAGTGTGTAAGACATTATTTAAGAAGTCTTGTTTCCATTTATGTGCCTCTGCCATGGTCTCTGCTCTACCCTCTGTAGGACGCTTTCAGGGTTTATGTAAATACAAAGAAACACCCACAGTATGCCATCACTTCCTCTTTTTCTACTCAAAATTTGATGAATAAAAAAGTTTTTACTTACTACATAGTGGAGATAATTTTGTATCTATATTGAAAAAGAATGACTTTACTCTTCAAGTTGCATAATATTTCAGCATGCGAATGAACCAGTGTTTATTTCTACCAACCTCTACTGATGAATAAGACATCCTGAAGAGCACACCATCACATACAGGGAAACAAATTTATTAGTATACATTGAAAAGCAGAGACTAACAGATGGGAAATCTTATAAGGAGAATGAATAAACCTTAACATTTTTGAAGTTTTCTTTTTTTTTTTAATGTTAAGCTATTGCATGCAAAAATTGCCAAAAACAGCCAGCCTATTTTGCCTCTCTTCATTCTTTAGCCTTCCTCTTCAGAGTCACTTTTATTGTTGAAGAGTTTCTCTGGTATATATCTCTGTATTTCTAAATAGTACGCTTTATGAAGGCAGAGATTATGATTTTATCATATGTTGTTTCTCTCCTAGCACCTGTGAAAATTCCTAGTACATGGCACACTGTTACATATGTGTTGAATGACTGAATTCTGTCATTTCTTGTTCTATCAATTTAGACTTTATCTCTTGACTTCCTGTTAGAAAAGATACAGCTTTAGCGCCCCCATAGTCCCTTACCATGCCTCCACACTCCTCTGTCTTCCAGGTATTTTCATTCACAAGTTTTTGTTGAATCAATAGTCGAGCTACATAAGAATTTTACTGCTGAGGCATATATGATGGCATTTCTTATACAACTTTTTGTACCAGCTAATAACTGCATTTTTAGAATTTGATTATTTTTCCATGACACAGTAGGCCTTCCCAAACACTGGGTAAAAAAAACAAAGCAAAAAGACTCAAAGCACCATTTGCTACATGGCCAAAGGCATCGGGTATTCTATAGATGCTGACTGTTTTCCTGGAGATGTGACCCCTGGATTCCTTTGCATTTTTGCTCCAGTTCAAACTTATGGAAACTTGCACCTGTCACCTTGAGACTCCCTTTTGTCTCTCGCCTCTGATGGATTTTCCATTTTCTGGAAATTATATTTTCCTTCTAGTTTGTACCCTAATGTTTTTAGAACACATCTTCCAGTACTTCCAGAAGAAAGATATTTGGAAGTGGAAATTATGAGAATTTGTATGCCTGTAAATGTCTATATTCTACCCTCCCATCTAATGTGTATTTTGGTGGGATATAGAATTCCAGTTTGGAAGTCATTTCTTTTAGAATTTTGAAGATCTTCTTAATCCCTTGTCTTCTACCTTCAAAACTGCTTTTTTTTTCTTTTTATTGAACATCACCACACAAAAAAGGAAGAGTTAACTATATTAACTAGGTAAGGTGGTTAGTTATCTACATACTGGTAATTATTTTACAATGTAAATGTAGAGCAAATCATTGCTCTTGAGAATGCAGATGACACTGTGACTCTTGATCATTGGTATGGGATTCTCTGTCCTGTCAGAAAGTTGTAGGACCTTATTGTCATTCTTGGGATAATTACATTTTGCAGTGATTGGCCGTGGTATGAGACTTTTTACATGAACTGTGCTGGGTACTCCGTGAGCCTCTTCAATCTGGAAACTCTTGTCTTTCAGTTCTGGAGAATTTTCTTATACTGTTTCCTCTTCTCAGTACAATATTATTAAGTCCATTCACATTGCTGTAACCAGGCTCCAGAACTCATTTCATCTTGTAAAACTGAAACTCAGTACCCATTAAACAACTCCCCATTCCCCCTCTCCTCCCTCCCTTAAAACCACCAGTCTACTTTGTCTCTATGAATTGACTATTCTAGGTACCTTATGTAAGTGGAATTGTTCAGTAGTTCTATTGTTGTGACTGGCTTATTTCATTTAGTATGTCTTCACAGTTCACCCATGTTGCAGCATGTGTCAGAATTTCTTTCCTTTAAGGTTGAATAATATTGCATTGTATGTAAATATCACATTTTATTTATCTATTCATGCATCAGTGGACATTTGGTGAATAATGCTGCTATGAGCGTGAGTACAAATATCTTTTTGAGTTGCTGCTTTTAATTCTGTTGGGTATATATTCAGATGTGAATTATTGGCTCATGTGGTAACTCTTTGCAATTATTCAGAAACTACCATACAGGTTTCCACAGCAACTGCACCATTTTACCTTCTCAGCAAAGTACACAAGGGCTCCAATTTCTCCATGTCCTCACCAACACTAATTTCATGTTTGTACTTATTTTTTAATACTAGCCATCATATGGAGTGTGAGGTGGTATCTTGTAGTAATTTGAGTCTACATTTTCCTAATAATTAGTGATGTCAAGTATCTTTTCAAATGCTTGTTGGCCATCTGTTTATCTTCTTTGGATAAATATCTCCTTATGTTGTTTGCCCATTTTTGTGTGTTAGCTTATTTTTTGTTGTTTTGTATAAGTTCTTTATATATTGTTGATATTAACCCTTTATCAATATATGACCTGCAAACATTTTCTCCCAGAGATTACACTTTCACTCTTACTGATTTCATCCTTTGATGCATAGAAGTTTTTATTTTGATGTAGTCCAATTTATTTCTTTTTTATTTGTGTTGTCTGTGCTTTTTGTGTCACATCCAAGAAACTGCCACCAATCCAATGTCATGAAGCTGTCCCCGTTTTCTTATAAGTTTCATAGCTTTAGTCTCTTTGTCTTTTGTGTCAACTTTACCATCCAAACTTTCTTTTGAGTTTAGTTCACTTTCCTACTCCTAGTTTCTAAGAGCTCTCTCTTGTTCTTGATCATATTTTGTAGATGTCGTTTGATAAATGAATATTCTCTTATCTTTCTGACTAATTTAAAAATCATCCCCAGATATATTGTTTCTGTTTTCTACGAATCCCCCCACTCACACCCTTTAGTTTCTTTCTTTTATGTAAGACTCTTCCCTCAGTTCAGGAAACTACTTTGTTGTACATATATATTTAAGGAATTTATGGCATTAAAACCTGCTGATTTATAGCATGTACAGAGCTTGTCAACTGGTGGCTTTAATCTAGGGTAATTGGAGATCAATGAGCTTCATTTGGGAGTGGATTAGCTCCAAATGTCAGATTCCCTGGGGTTTCTCCCCGACTCCGGTCAGCTTCTCCAGTCACGTGTCCTCTGATCTCCCTGCGGGGTGGAATGGGGTCACAGAGGTCGGGACACTTACTCATCAGCATCACTGAGGCCAAGCAGCACAGCAGAGAGTCTCAGAGTTCAGCACGTGCACTTCCGCTTGATCGCTCTCCTCTCTGTAGGCTCTCCTGCTTCCCATGACATCTGAGAGCCCAAATCTGGAGGATTTTTCATTTAATTTCTCTGCATGAAGCTTGAAAGTGTCCTCCACATGGAACTTCAAGCATCCTGTTAAGAAGAAGGGTTTGGGGCAAAGAATTGGAATTTGTCTGCTCCTTATGTTCAACCCATTCCTGTGTTTCTAGCCCAAATCTCAATCTCTTCTTCCCAGATGCCTGCTAGTTATTTCTGGGGTCCTGTGGTGTACATGGGCTTGCTTCTCACTTTAGTGAGAGCATTTAGTGTTCAGTTATCTCTACTCTGTTATAACTTCTATTTATGTCACATCATCCAAAATATTGTTGACGCACCCACGATCATATTAATTTATATCATTATATCTTTTATACTATTTTAATTGCTCCAGAGAAAAGAGTTGTACAAATGAATCAACTTTTTTCTCCATTAAAATGTTGAAGAAGCATTATTTTAACTTGAAACCAGCCTTTTTAGGTTCTGTATATTAATTGTCAATCATAACCTCATTATATGCAATCTGTAATAATGACAGATGTCTCATATCGAGCAATATAACCATGTAAGGATATTTCTGTTTTAATTTAACTTTTATTATAAAAATTCAACCATTTAATAAAATCATATATTCTGTGTTTTAATGCAAACTTAAACCTGTGCTGATTATTTAATTAAAACTTTTTGAATTTTAAGGTTAAAAACACATCCTATATTACTATGTGTTTTATTAACTATTTGCAGAAATATGTTTCTTTAATGTTTAAAAGACTTTAGCTCTTTTAAGTTGTGATGTTTTAGATAGCTGTCATTTTGTTGAATTCATAAATTGGTTTCTTAATGTGTTCCTTTCAATTCACAGGGTAATATTGCTTCACAACTTGTAGTGGAAAAAGGTAAGTTAACAATCTTCTCATGACTTTTTTTTTTTTGAGAGGGCATCTCTCATTTATTGATCAAATGGTTGTTAACAACAATAAAATTCTGTATAGGGGACTCAATGCACAATCAACCCCAAGCCTAATTCTCAACAGTCTCCAATCTTCTGAAGCATAACGAACAAGTTCTTATATGGTGAACAAGTTCTTACATAGTGAATAAGTTCTTACATGGTGAACAGTGCAAGGGCAGTCATCACAGAAACTTTCGGTTTTGATCACGCATCATGAACTATAAACAATCAAGCCAGATATGATTATTCGTTTGATTTTTATACTTGATTTATATGTGAATCCCACATTTCTCCCTTATTATTATTGTTATTATTTTTTAATAAAATGCTGAAGTGGTAGGTAGATGCAAGATAAAGGTAGAAAACATAATTTAGTGCTGTAAGAGGGCAAATGTAGATGATCTGTGCCTATAGACTAAGTATTAATCCAAGCTAGACAAGGGCAACAAAATATCCAGGGATGCAGAAGATTTCTCTCAAAACAGGGGGGGTGAGGTTCTAAGCCTCACCTCTGTTGATCCCTAATTTCTCACCTGATGGCCCCCCTGCAACTGTGCCTGTCTTAGGTTGTTCCTCCCTTGAGGAATCTTACCCGTCTCTGGCTAACCAGTCATCTTCTGGGGCCATACAGGGAAATGTGAAGTTGGTAAGTGAGAGAGAAGCAATATTCTTTGAAAAGGTTAACTTTTTACTTCTTTGCAGATTTATGCCCTGTGGCTTCTATGCCTAGCATTTGTCTTGAGGTATCCTTACCACTTGGAAGAATTATGATACTTGGTAATTTTCTATATGAGGCACGAATTCTACTAAAGGGTTGTAATTATTCTCATGACTTTTTTTTCACAGACATCAAAGCACAAAGGGAGCTCTGCTTCTCGGCAGCAGTTAGCTCTCCCTTCCCCTGGCTCTCAGTAATCTTTCTCCAGTAACTTCTCTGATGTGTTGAGTCTAATCTGCTCTTGGCTAAAAAAATCAGATAATCTCACTTGCTAAATTCAAGCTTACAGTCAAAATAAAAGACAATCTGATTAAAGGCCCACAAGTAAAGCTCATGTGTTTTGATGTATGCATGCTGTGATCAAAGCACTGAAATCATTGCAAATCCATCAGGTCTTAAATGAAGATTTGGCCAATCCTCAAATCCAAAACAAGTGTTCTGTGATATGTACATATATAAAGTTTTGGTTCACAAAGTCTATAGTAACAATATAGTGTTACTTAACAGAAAGTAAGATTGTAGAATCACTGACTTTCAGGAACAATTAAGTGGCTTACTGAAATATATTTATTACAATAGATCTCTCGTTCATCCTTTTTCTTTAGTTGTCTGAGCCATCCCCTCACATGAATATGCCTGTCTATAGCAGACTTTAAGTACATAAACCAGCTAATTTCTGTTATAACTTTGTAATCTCTGAAGAATATGTACACATATTTATGAAAATTATTTCAAAATATCTGAACACTACTATGCATATGCATGTAAGTTACAATTCTCCTAAGTATGTGAAAATGTGTCTATATGAACTGCCACAAAATTGAGATCTGCATGTAAATGATTATCTCAGTAAATGTTTTTTTCAAAATAGACTTTGATATATGAACTCCCCTCTGTATTTTTCCATATCTTAATAACTTAATTTTTAACAAGTTAATATTTAACAACATAGGTGTGACATGTTTACCTTCTGCTATACACAGATGAACCAACAGACCTTGGATTGAATGAAGTAGCCCATCGAGCTGAGGGATTTAATTTGGAGAGAGATTTGCTCAGCCAGACAACAGCCCCACAGGAAAAATCACAGGAGGAACTTACAGCAATAAATACTGCTATTTCTAAGGAAATGTGGTTAGATTTTGACGATTTTTGTGTATGCTTTCAGTAAGTATAATTTTTTGTGTGCCTTGAGTATAGTGGATATAGAAGCTATTCATTTTTAGCTATTATTTTAAAGAGTGAAGCCAATATTAGTCCAGTGTTGATATAATATAAAGCAAAAATGTTAGAAGGAAAATGGGTGAGTTGACTGTCCATATAGAACATTAATAACCAAACGAATTTTAGGTCAACTTCAGCTTATCCTCAAAGACTAATTTGTTGACTGAAATGAAGATAGTTTAGTCACTGAGATAGATCATTTTTGTCCCTTTAGGAAAACTAATTCAGTACAGTTGTCATTATTTTTCCCCAGCTTTACTGAGGTTTAATTGACAAGTGGAATTGTGAAGTATTTGAAGCATGCATGGTGATGAGTTAATATCTGTATACATTGTGAAAGATTCTCCCATTGAGTTAACACATCATCACCACACATACCTACCTTTTTTTTTGGTGAGAATATGAAAATATTTAAATTCTACTGTCTTAGCAAATTTCAATTTCAGTGTTGTCGACTATACTCATCTTGTTATACATTAGATCATCAATCCTTGTTCCTCGTGCAACTGAAAGTTTGTACCCTTTTACCAACCTCTCCCTCTTTCCCCACCTCCCAGCCCCTGGCAATCACTTTCCCTCTCTCTAATTATTTTTTACCTTTCATCTGTCTTTACCTTGTTCTGCCTGTTAACTATTTGAGTCTAAACATGTAAAACTTAACATGTAATATTAGTCTGTTGCATATAATGATAATGTGTTATAAATAATGTTTTTCAGGAATATATATATTTTCCACAAGCCAAGTTCATATTGCCTTAACTTTCAAAAAACAGAATTCAAGGTAAATATATTATGATCTTTTCTTTTTCACTTCTTACACTTCAATGTTTAATCATGCTAGTGAAAAACACCTTCAAATTTATCAAGCATTTCTATGCGTGTAACATTATTATATGTAAAAAAATTTTTAAAATGTAAAAAAAAATGATCTTTTCTTTTTCACTTCTTACACTTAAATGTTTAATCATGCTAGTGAAAAACACCTTCAAATTTATCAAGCATTTCTATGCTTGTAACATTATTATATGTAAAAAAATAATTATTAGGGTTTTTTCTAATCTCTGATCCAAACAATAAACAAAATTCTGCTGCCTTATATCCCCAAGAGTGGTCCATTTGATTATGCTATAGTGGTTCAATTCTATGCTTGTAACATTATTATATGTAAAAAAATAATTATTAGGGTTTTTTCTAATCTCTGATCCAAACAATAAACAAAATTCTGCTGCCTTATATCCCCAAGAGTGGTCCATTTGATTATGCTATAGTGGTTCAATTCTGAGCTTCATTATTAAGTGAAAATTCACATTAAGAATATTGTTTGATTTATGCGTAAATGAAGGGGAAGCACGAATGAATTCACAATATTTGATTTCAGTTAGTGTTTATTGATTTGCATGCAATCCCTAAAACATAAACACATCTTCATGACCATTTTTGTTACTTTTGCCCATGTTCTTCCCTCTGCCAAAAGTTCATTCCCCTCTATCATTACTGCCTTTATCTGTCTAATGCCTAGAAGTCCTTCAGAACAGCATGGATGTCCTTGACCCTGTGAAACCTCCTTCCCTGGCCACAGAGTCTGGGTCAAGTACCCTGACTCCATGCACTTTATATGACCTATTCTTCCTCTGTCCTAACTGCCTGATTACTTCTCTGTGCCCCTCCACCTACCCACCCTCTCCATGTCAGCATCTTAAAGATTCTGTCCTTTGGTTTACTATTGCAATACTGGTCCTGGCATGAGGTAGGAACTCAATAAAAGAAAAAATGGTGAATGAATTCAGTAACAAATCTTGCCGTGAGTGAAATTTGGGGGAAAACTATGAAGCCATTTAGTTCTGGGAAACAAAACTGCACTGAAACTTGCATGATACTCTCCCATCTCCATGAGCAGTACGCTGCTGGGGAGAAGTACGTGTCTCAGAGATGCCTTTTCCCTTTGAGCTTGTACTAAATGAAAACACAGGCAGAGAAAACCTTCTGTGCTTTTCTCAAGAGGCGCTCTGGAGTTGGTTACCTGCTCTGAAATTAAGAATCAGGTCTGTAGTAACTGGGGTGGTGGTGGGGAGGAGAAATGGCCCACTTAGTCCTGGAGTCTATCTATAAAAACACCCAGAGGGATGCTTCATCTGTCTGAAGGTAAAAAAACTGTTTATTGGGAACAGTTGAACCCAGAGTATGGCATGAGAATATCAGAGAGTTTATAGTCAACAGGCATATTTCCATGTTCCCAATACTGGCAATTAATGACAGTCATTTATAGGTGCTCACTCTGTTACCAACCCTGAGCTAGGCTTTATTGCATTAACTCCTCTTGACAAACTTTATGAGAGGGCCAGTGCCGCCATAATTTTTCAGTGAGGACACTAAGGCAGATCAAGTTTGATTCAATTGCCCAAGATCACCAAACTAGTGAGTGGCACAAGCATCATGGAAACTGGGTTTGTCTGACTTGGAGCCTCTGCCTTTCTAAGCAGTTCTGCCTTTAGAGAAGTGGATTAGTGGCTCTGAAGCCACACTGCCTGGTTTTGAATCCAGGTTCCACTTGGAATGGGACACTGAGCCAGTCATTTAAGTTCTCTTTACCTCAGTTTTCTTTTCTATAAAATAGCAGTAATAAGACCTATGTCTTAGAGTTGGGAAATAAATGAGAGATGTGTTTTCCAACTCTATGAGAAACATATTGTTATTAGTAAGTTTAACAAATGTTGGTTGTCACTTATTATTTAAGGAAGTTTGCATATGAGTTTTTGTTATGATCACTATTCATGTGTATGTGTGTAGAAAAATGGAAAACTGTTCTTTATTCAGATCCTATTTTTACAAACCAGCTTAGCAAAATAAAATATTATTAGCCTTCTATGAGTCCCTTCATTCTCCTGACATTATTATTTTTATTTATTTATTTATTTGCACCAGTGATGTGAGAAAATAATAGCTTTTCCTTGGAGGGTGTTGGAACCCAGACTTAGCCATTGGTGTGGCCTGAAAGGCAGGATTGGTTGTGGTCTGAGGTCAGGCATTCCTGATTCAGGGGCCTCAGGGTTTGCTTGCTCAGCTGGGGGCATAGAGCCTGAGGCCTCTCCCTCCACGTCCTCTAGTTGTGAGCAGTGCTTTCCTGTACATTCCTAGACTGGTGCTCAGTCTGGGGTTAAGGTGGGGGCTCTCAAAGGTGCCTTGTGCTGGCACCAGGGCAGAGTCCCTCCATGTGCCCTCCAGGGCCACCCTGCACACAAATTCTGACTCTTAAAAATGACAGCCAATAAGCTAACTCTGTGAACAAACTCCTCCGGCATGCAGACTGGCAAATTCAGGGGTCTTTCATGATTTTAGATAATGAATATTTGAAACAACTGCCTCTATTATGAACATGTTGCAGCTAAAAGGAAACAAATTGTCAAATGCTAACTAGTGGAAAATATTGAGGGAAACAATCATTTAAACATGGTTATATTGTATCAAGAATGACACACTTGATTAAGTAACAAGGTTTCCTTTTTCACAGTATTACTGAAGATTTTTCTTTTATATGTTAACTGGTTATTTAAATATTATAAAATAATATGAAAGCTTTTAAAGTATAATGACAATTAAATTAACATATTTTCCTATACCATCAGTCAAAATTATGTTTGAAGCACTGAGAATTTGAGAGGCAATGATAGCACAATAGTCAAGACCAGCCTTAGAATCATGGAGATAGATAAACCTTCTTTTGAATCTCAGCTTTGCTACTTGCAAACTCTGTCACTCTTGGCAAATTACTTACCCTCTCTGTGCTTCCATTTCTTCATGCATAATTATGGATAATAATAGCACCCATACAGCAACAGATTGAGATCATGTGCATGTAACCATTATGCAGCTGTCCTTTAAGGGAAATTCTGTTTTTACTCAGTACTTTCTTGCATCTCCAAAAGAAAAATTGAGTCTGGCGCCCTAGTGAGCAATAGGTGTATTTCTGAAAATCTTGTAGAAAGAAGTAAGAGAGGGTTTGTATTTCATATCACCCTGTAAAATACCTTCATATATCCCCATTACACATTTCTATTCTCTGCCAAAGTTACTCTGTGGCCTGTCTGCTTATCAGGAACCCATTCCCCGAGCACTGCTCAGCCCTGGCCCAGTCTTCTTGATTCGACATTTCTGAAACACAGCCTTCCTTTCCTCGTGAAGAAGAGCTTTGACTCTGGAACTGTGGCCAGGCTCACACAGGCGCTGTAGACACAGCTTCCGTGGACTACTGCCAGCACGTACTCAGTGTCATTGTCTCTTCATATTATTAAACCTGTAATGTACTTACTGTGATGTCTAGAACACAGTAAGTACTCTGCAAATGTTAAATATTGTGTTATTATCAGAAGTGGGAAATATACTGTTAATACACTAATATTAAGTTCAATGATTGGTCTGATTTGTTGTAGTTCTCAGATGAACGTGTGTCCTACTCTCTATTTGTGGATAGTCTAAAACCTATCGAACTTCTGGTTTGCTATTCTGCATTGGTATGCTGGGGAGAATCTGGAGGTAAGCAGGCATGGGAAAATTCAGGCCAGGGAAAATACAATAATAAGATTTTTAGGCTCTGGATGAAGGAACTTACTCCCTCTCCAGGCTCTGTAAGAAAGCCACACTTACACAGCCTCCTGTGATGAACCTGCTGCTCAGACAGCGAGGACTGTGCCCACCCCTGCCGCCTGCACCTCGTTCGTGGCAGTCACCTGCTCTCCTCTTTGGCACACCTCGCCACTCTGTTTTCCTTCCACCATCCGTGTCAACATTCTCCATTCCTTCAAAATCTATTGAGAAACATGAACTCTTTCTTTGATTTGACAATTCCAAAGCTCTTCTCCTGCATCCCACGTTGGCCCCCTGCTGTCGCAGTTCCACGTTAGGACTTATTGTGCCAATAGCTGCATCATCTCCATCGTCTCAATTTCAGGCTCGCTGGCCACACCCTCTGACTCTCCAAGTCACTCCTGGAATCCCGCTCCTTAATTCTTCGACTCCACTGGGACTACCATCCATCGACCCCACCACATTTTCTCTGTCCATCATTCTCCTTACATCCTTATTTCTTTTATTCCCAGCATAGTTTCCATGGGCCACCATTGAAATTGTATCCTCACATATACTTCTCATCTCATATTCCTTGCGGAATCCCAATATTGTTGAACTTGACAACTGAACTCTGCACCTGACCTGTAGTTGCTTCAGAGCAGCTGCATCTGACTGGATTAAAACAAAACACCAGTGAGTCCTGCTTTGGATTGAGGACCACAGGCCTCAGGAAAGCCCCCAAGCACTGCCCACATCTCCCCAGTTCATTCTTTCTGCAGCCCTCAGCTCATGGATGACAGTCTCAAACCTTCAGGTCTCTCTGTCTTTGCAAATCTCCAACACCCCCTCTCAGCCTCATTTTTAGCTGATGACCTCACTGCTGCTTTCACTGGTGAGAAAGGAGTCATCAGAAATGACGTGTCTCATCTTCTCATGATGAACTCTCCCAAGCTCCAGTCAGCCTTCCCTCTATGTCTCTCTAAGGCCAGCCCCTTGCACACATATGCCCATATGCACAAAACATCATTCTTTAATTCCTTGGACTGTTTTGTTAAAACATTTATCTCTAACTCAAATTAACAGTACCTGGCACTGTAGACATTCAGTATTGGCTGAATGCTTAATACTGAATGTCTCGCCAATCTTGAGGGCAGAAACCATGGTTTTCCTCCAAGCCATATCCAATGTTTTGAATGGTATCTAGTGTATAGCAGGTGGGTAATAAATATCTGTTGAATAAACTTTTTGAACTTAAGTGGTATAAGCATAGTATGTCTAGCTAACGAATAGCTCCTAAGCCATACCATGTCCTAGAGTATTTAAATTATGTGTGTGTAGATGTGTTTCAAGTCTTGTTATGGACTTACATCCTCAGCTTGAATATTATCTGGAAATAGGGTAAAAAGGTAAGTCCTGTGGATGTAATGTACAGCATGGTGACCATAGTTATCAATACTGTATTGTATATTTCAAAGTGGCTAAGAGGATAAATCTTAAAGAAAATCATTACAAGAAAAAAATGTGTAACTATATGTAGTGATGGATGTTAACTTATCGTGCAAGTCATTTCAGAGTATACATATATATATCAAATCATTATGTTGTACATTTAAAACTAGCACAATCTTTTACGTAAAATTTATCTCAATAAGTTTTTTATAATTTAAAAAAGTATTTTACCCTCACCTACTGATGAAGAACAGTGGATATTCTTTATTCATTTTAAGAGAAATGTTCAAAATTAAGATTAAATTTTTTGTTAATTATTTGCTATTTTTGCACATTGTCAAAATTAAGAATCAAAAGTAAAAACTTGTGGGATATTTTGACCTTGTTTTGCCACTGTCTTAGGAAAATCTCTTACTTTCCCACATGTGTGATGTTTAGCCTCTTCTAAACTTCCTTTTGAGGGATATTGTAATTACTGCCTTACATAATAAAAGTGATGAGGAATCCCTGTGTCCTACTTTTTCTAACTTTCCCACTTCTGGTTTCTTCACCTAAGGGGATGAATATGAAGGAGAAAAATAGGACAGAGAGGAAGGTGTAGATTCCACTTGAATATTATTTCTGATGAGTATTTATCCAGAGTAATTTCTAGTGTATTTATGAACATTTTTAGAAAATATCTAATGCCTGATTATTATTACTACTTTTATTAATGTTTTAAAGTGAAGGCCAGCCATATTCTCACTATCAAATCTTAATATTTTTTACTTTTCCTAGCTTTAACAAAAGACAGCCCCCCAGTAGGGCCTGGACTACTTACAGCGGAAACATTTTCTTGGAAATCTCTGAAGCCACGTGATCTCGTTCTGAAGATTCACACATACGCTACCAAGGCTATAATGCTTCGCCTGCCCATTGGGTATGGAGTGATTTCATTTTTCCCATACTAAGTATTTTTAAAGACTTCCTAGCTATTTATTACTAGATAATTAAATAATATGGAATCTAGGATATTGTCTCCTAAAGTGATTTCTTAAGGGACAGGTCTTTCATTATGGTTCTTAAGAGAAATAATTCCATGAACAAATAAATTGAAGAAAGGCTGTATACTGAATCCCCTTCTAGAACATTCATAATTGTCTGAGTCTGGCAATTTCTTAGTAAAGAATACGGTTTAAACTTCTTAACCCAGCATTTCCTAAAATTAACTTATTAAAGAATCCTTTTTATTTCCTTATAAATCTTATTATAGTCCTTAGCAAGAACCACAATTTTATTTAAAAAAAGTCTGAGAAAAACTGCATTTTCCCCTCCCAGTCTGTAGGTTTACTTGTCCTTAGTTTTTTTTTTTTATCTCTAGTTTTATTTTTAATTAAGATAAAGTTGGTTAAAAACAGCACATTTTCCATTTTAAAGAAAGTATGTATAGTCAAAAGTTCTCTTGATTTTGATAAGTAAAATTCAAAACATTACCTCATATTTCAGATGAAATAAATGTTTTTACTGGATTTCCTGAGATCCATCATGCTAATTCTATGTGATCAGTGCAAAGCTTTGGCTCTTGTACAGAAAGCAAAGCGTAAGCAACAGAATCAAAAGCTAAAATAATGCATGGCAAACATCCAAGATACCTAGAAAAAAAATTTTTTTTTGAACTTCAATATTTTTTCACATCCACCCTAAAAACTCAGGCATGGAGAGATTCTCCCAGAAATCATTACTCTGTCTGCACGCACATCCATTAAGACAACCAAGGACAGTGAATTAACAAAGAATTGTATATCTATGTTTCCCCCTACAGGACCTAACCTATCAGCACATATGTTTTGAACATGCTCTAAGCATTCAGTAACTGAGGGGAAATGAATATCCCTGCTCTCAGTGATACCAAAACCTGGTAGGAGAGACATGGTTTAACATACCTGAAATGATGCATTTGTGAGAAAATGGTTATGATAACTACCAAGCCCTATACCACCCTGAATTATTGTTAGGGAAGGATCAAGACGAGCCTTTGGCAGTGTGGCTGCAGGATATGGGAGAGACCTTCAGCACGTTCAAGTTCATCTTACTGTAACTGTTTGTGTCTGAAATATAAATTCCATGATCCCTGGGAGTTCTCAGAGAATGAAAATTCAAAGGTCTTTATCCCACCTGTGTTAAACAATTCAGCTATCATTAACATTTGACTTCTTCTGAGCAGAAACTGTCATCAAGTAACTAACAGCAGCAGGGACTGCAAGGCAGGAGCCCTTGGGCCTCACGTATCGCCGTTTTCTTTAGGAGACACATGCTTCTCTTCTCTGTGTATGCCCCGGTAGGACATTTCCTGCACATCTGCAGCACGGTGACGTTTGTCATTGGGGATGAAGATGTCGTGCTTCCCAACTTTGAGCCGGTAAATATTTAAGCAACTGTGATTTTTCTGTGTGCTTTATTTTCAAAGATTTTGAACTAAATCATATCCTCATTTTTTATTCAGCCTAGCCTTTTTTTTTTTTTTTTTTTACCTTTTCAAGACTATTAAGAATATTCTGCAAGAAATCCCCAAATATGACACATATAAGCAGTCTGAACTCTGTAGGGACACAAATGAGATAATCTTAGTTTTTCTCCAACAACTGCCTTCACCTGTGCTCTGTTGCGTCCCGTTTCGCACCTGTGACTATTTCAGGCCTATCACAGTACTACTGGTCCTTTGGGAGGCATGAAGGGCCAGTACAGTCCTTTTTATTATAGTTTAGCATTTTGCTACCATACTCTCCTTTCACCCCTTCCTTGGCCTAAGGAACTTGGAGGGTGTGTGCTGGAATTCAGGGACAGAGGATCCCTGGAAGGTTCTTCTCCATCTCGTCTTTCTTCTCTTGGCTTCTTTTGAGTTTCTCTTGCTCCTCTGTTCTGACAGGGTCTGAAAGAAGAGACGAGGTAAACGGGGCGAGCGCCTCCGCTGAGGTCCTATGTGGCTTTAAATGTCCTCTAAAGGATATGCAAATGGCCAGATTTGCAAAGGGCCCGCCCACTGCATAATTCAGCTTCACGCTCTCTGCCCTCCTTTCTCCATGCGGCACAGCCTCATGTTAATGAGGTAGAATCCTCTCAGCCAGTCAGCAAGCCTCTAAGCCAGGGTGCCAACGAGATGGCTCCCTCTTAAGCTCGGCTCCCTCATGCTAATGCTTCCATGGCCCAGCTCTGCTCCAGTCATGCATGCTGGCAGCGCCCGTGCAGGACTCCCCGTGGCTGCCTCTTCTCGCCGCTCCGTCTCTCACCAGTCCTCTCCTCCTGCTCCTTAGATAAGAAGGTAAAGCAGCAAGCCCACCTTGCAAGTAGATTCCCCTTAGACCCTCATTATTTTTCTCCTCATTATTTTAGATTCTTGTTCTGTCTTCTCTTTTTAAACAATTCTGTTTCAGGTAGTATGGATTATCCAGTTTGTTTCCTTCTTTAGGCGATTTAACTTCCTAGATGTTTAGTTATTTCATTCTGTGAACTCATATTTGCCTGGGATTATCAACGCCTCCATCTTGTAAAAATGTTTAGGACCCAAGGCCAGGCCCCATTATTCTTTGGTTCTAATGAAGAAACAAATGGGGGTATAGACTGGTCGTAGAGCAGAGAGACCCAAGCCTCTCAGAGCCCTGCAGGATCACGCCCAGCACTTGACCAGACAGCTTTTCCTGTCATGGTTTCCCCTCAGGGAGGAACACCACTGAGAAGTGCTGGGTTTTCCCCAGGCTCTGGATGGTTTGGGACGAGGTAATGGAGGAGTAAATGCATTAATGTGGCAAGTCGGTTTCATCTGTTTTCATCAGCAAGAAGTCTGTCCCGTTTAGGCATACCTGCTAGGCCATTTCTCAAAATACCCGCGGGGCGATGATGACACCATGGTGCCCCCTAGGAAAGGGGCCAAATTGACTTGACAAGGTTTTCCTGCGACTTCACCCTCTTCCCGCGGCCTCCCAGCACCTGCAGCTCCAGGCAGCTTCTCCGCTCCCACCGCGCACCAGTCAAGATGATCTGCTAACTCCTCACGGCTTTGTCTGTCTGTCTGTCTCTCTCTCTCTGGTTTCAAACTATGCATTTATTGAAACTTGACATCCATTTTCTTTTCCCCCCAGCTTTATTGAGGTTTAATAGGCAAAATTATAAGATATTTAAAATGAACATCTGGTGATTTGATACATGTACACATTGTGAAATGATTCCTGCCATTTAGTTAACACACCATCACCTCACATATTTTCTTTTTTTTTTTTTTTTGGTGAGAATGGTTAAGTTCTATTTCTTAGCAAATATCAATTATATAGTACAGTGCTCTCAACTATAGTCGCCATGTGTTACATTTAGAGTCTCAGACCTTATTCCTCTTATAGCTGGAAATTTGTATGCTTTTGCCAACCTTTCCCTATTTTCTCTAGCCCTCCAGACCTCACAACCACTCTTCTATTCTCTCTTCATATAATCTGATTTTTTTTTTTTTAGATTCCACATGTAGTGATACCATACAGTATTTGTCTTTCTCTGTCTGGTTTATTTCACTTAGGAAATGCCCTGAAGGCCCATCCATGATGTCACCAATGGCAGAATTTCCTTCTTTCTTGTGGCTAAATTTTATATGTAATAATTCATAAATAATTATTGCATTAGCCCTGTAGCAGAGGTTTACCATAATAACAGAAATTAAATTTTGTATACTTAATTGCACTTAAATAAATGAAAGTGAGGCTGGCTGCTGTGCTTTGTGTCCACAGGAAAGCTACCGATTTACAGAGCAGTCTCTAACAATTCTGAGAGCTGTTGGCAATGTGATTGCTAGTTTCAAAGACAAGGGTAAACTTCCTGTGGCTCTGAAGGATCTGCAAACAGCTCACTACCCTGTACCCCTGCAGGATAAAGAACTGACCGCACAGCACTTCAGAGTAAGCATGTCCAGTTTATGATGTTCCTAGAGGGCTATTTTCTAGGTGAAATGCTGTATCTTATGTTAGGTGACTCTCATAATCAGAGCTGAGAAAACATTTTGGAGGGAGACAGACAGTTTATTTGGGAAGTGAGTTCAGCTGGAAGGCATGAGGGAGAGGTAAGAATGAAATGAGAAAGAGAAGACTATTCCCTAGTGGTGTGATGATTACTGCTGTTGGTACTGGGACCTAGTCACCCAGGGGATCCTGAGGAACTGTGTAGGCCATCCCTCAGCATGTCCACCAGAGAAGGGAGGTTGTGACACTTACCACCACCTCTTTCTGAAGCAATAAATGGGTGCCCTCAACGGCATTAACTTCCTGATGCTTGTAACTTGGGCCTCTGCCCAGGCTGAGTAGCATTCCGGCTTCACAGAAAGCCTTGTGGGAGTGAAGCTGACTTTGTGGCACCCCCTAGGCATCACTGACATTTTGGGCTAGTTGATCTTTGTGGGACTGAGCCACACACTGTAGATGGATCGCAGCATGGCCCACCTACATGCCCTAGTGCCAGTAAGCATCCTGTTGTGACAACTAAAAATGCTTCAGACATTGTTAAATGTCCCCTGGCGAGTACCACTGCTGGATTTAGCAAATAAAAATACATGGCACCAGTTAATATTTTTTATTAAAGACTTACTTTTTAATAGCAGTTTCAGGTTCACAGGAAAACTGAGCACAGACCCCATCTCCACACACGCACAGCCTCCCTCATCACCAACCTCCCCCACCAGAGCAGTACTTTTGTTACAGTTGAACACCTTACATTGGTAGATTATAATCACCCCAACTCCATAGCTTACAATTATGGCCCACTATTAATGTTGTACCTTCTATGGGTTTATACAAATGTATAATGGCATGTATCCATTGCTGTAGTCTCATAGAGAGTAGTTTCACTGCCCTAAAAATCTTATGTGCTTTGAGCATTCGTCCCTCCTGCACCCCAAGCCCTGGGGAAAGCATTGATCTTTTAACCTCAGAGGGGATGCCCCAGCAGGGCTACCCCCAAATCTCCACTGATGTGGTAAGTCCACTGTTCTCTGTAGGCTTATTCCAGCTCTCTAGCAGGCATATGTCTTATCTAAAATCCCATCTTCTGCCCATAGTCCTAATTCACTGTTGTCATCAAAAATCACTTATAGATCAGAGTACTGTGCTGTACAAGGTCAGCATGATGGAGGACTCCGAACACTCCAACTGTAACAGAGTAGGATGATTAACATAATTTTTCTTATTTCTATCTCAGATGTTGAAATACTCAGTATGTTGTATTAGTACGTCACAGAAAACACATTCAAGCCACAGCAAGGAGCTGGACGTCTTGATTTAGTATTAGGATTCAGGGACATCTTCGTAACACATAAGGTCAGGAATGACCCAGTGAAAAACTTCAAAGAGGTGACAGAAAGCCCTTAGAACTTCATTTTCTTTTTCCTCTTTACAGATATGTTTTCTCTACTCCTAAATTCACATCATGGAAAAAAATAGCTTCTAAATTTTACATCCCTTTTCCATGTAAGGCCAGTTTCACTGGAAATTGATCCTGATTTCAAATTATTGGTTAAAGTGACAATGATTTGTTCAGCTTGGGTTAGATGCTTGCTTGTAGGCTTTTCCACTACTGCCAGCAAATGGGGCAGGTACAAACTGGGGTAGATTGTGGAATTAAGTCCCTGTTTCTATGCATGTGGAGAAGGGTGAGGAGTTGTCAGAAAATGTGGACTAAGCAGGAAATGCAATAGTCATATGCCTTTGAAAGGCACTATATTTCACCAATTCTAAGATGCCTGTTTCTTATCACACTTGAACATCACAATGAAATCAGAGTGTGTCTTACAGCTGGTGTTGCTTACAATTGTTGCTAACCAGGTGGCCTTCAGAATTCTCTGCACACACACAGATTTGTTCATAAGAGTTCATGTCACTGCTTCAAAAGAAATGTATATTGTTTGACAAATGCCCAGTCCTTAGGGGAAGCAAATTAAATGGCTTATAGAGCCTCTCAGAGAAACATGAAAGGAGAGGGATTTTTCTTCATACTAGAATGACTTCCCCAGGGCTCTGGAAAAGAGAGAGAAGGAAAGGTGTGACTGGCCTAAAGTCATCTCAAATAGTGCCCCAGAAGCCCTATGTAACCCAACAATCATGTTATTCCCCATGGATGTGTAAATAGCTAAAAGCAAGCCAGTAGAAATATGTGCTGCCTGATTGTTATTCTAAGTGGCATAACTGTATAAATGGAATGCCTCCGCATTTCAGGATAAAAACTTGGGAGAAGGAATATGTGTTTTTGTTGTGATCTAATAACCTTCTGCCAGTCCTCTTTGGAAAGATCAAGAATGAACCCGCAGCTACACTTAATGAATGGGGGTCAGTGGCTTGAGAAAACCCCAGGGATGAAAGTAGGATACTCTTTAGGCAATGGTGCGTCTTTAAAACTTTTGACAATATGAAGGACAAAATTGTATAGGCAAGTACAGATGTTAAGTTTTTTCAAAAAGTGATTTGCAGCAATAGGAGTTTGAGCATGAATACCTTCACAGAATATTTAGCTAACTTATGTAGCTTATTTTTTGTGTGTATTTGAATGAGATACATGATGAAAAAGCTATGTTTTAATCTAAAAGAGCTTTTTCAATGGGAGTAAATACTCACAGATGATAATAAGAAAGTGATTAAAAGAAAAAACCTCTAAGCAGCATGTTTTCTTTTTTTGTAGCACATGAAATAATGTGTCTTATCATGTATGGCATCTTAGAATCAATGAAATATGGTATTGAACTTACTTCAGCACAAGAACAGTATTTTTTGTCTTATACTACTTCTAACCATTGTAATGTTATATTTGAGTGCACACAAAAAACACTGTTGCAATGATTAAAATTTTATTGAACTAGAAATATTCAAATGATAATTCTGGTTTTTTACTAGGTGAGTGAGACTTTGAAGAGCCCTCTCTTAGATTGTGTTTATAACCAAGAAATATACATATATTTATATATACATCTTAGGGTATCTAAAGTTTTCTGGAGCTTCTCTGTCCAGGAAATAGTATTTTCTTGGTTTAAAAAGTATACTAGTGTATTTTATCTTTTTTAGGTTTTCCATATTTCTTTATGGAGTTTAATGAAAAAAGTTCAAGTAACAAAACCCACTCCTAACTTAAAATTTGCATTCCGTGCTATGGTTTTGGACTTGGACCTGCTTGATTCATCCTTGGAAGAGGCGTCTTTAGGTACTGATTAATTTTAGGTATTTATTTGACAAAGGAATTCCTAGCCTTATATAAGATAAAATTTTTATGGAGTAGGTAGAACAGAATAGGTCTGTCCTGACAGTTGTAGAATTCAGCTGTGCTCTGGGAAGCCCAAAGGGCTCCAGGGATCTGCCCTGTGCCCCCTATACCGCATACTTCCAAGGAGAGCCTAGAATTTCCCTGTTTTATTTGTTCCTGACCTTAAAAAATTTGAAAGCTGCTAATCTATACAGTAAACTTTGGGGAGTTTTGGAAAGATCCTCTAATCCAAGTAACCCTCCTCTCTTCTTCTCCCAATGCTCTATTCCCACCATTATATCGTTTTCTTTCAGTGTTGAAAAACCTGTTGCTACTTTCCCACAGGACTCAATAGTAATTCACTGATCTGACATTTAGTGTGTTTCCTTTATCCAGAATGTTTGCTTTCCAAAAAAAAAAAAGACCACCTATGGAAGACAATGTTAAATATAATGACAAATCTGTTGTTGTGGCCCTGTATGTGTCAGAGGGCTTTAGTAATGAAGGGCATTGAAGATTGGGGAAGGGATTAAATATAACTTTCAGCCCAAAGTTTATTTTTCTCTTCTCAGCGGAATGCATAGACATTAAATACAGCATGCCAGTGAGTGATAAAGATTATTCTCCCTTGGAAGTAGCTGCAGCAACTAAAATTCAAGCTCTGTGGAGAGGGTCTTATGTCCGATTGCTTATGAGAGCCAGAACACCAGGTATAATTTGTCAGTGTTTATAAAATGAACTTGTATATGTAAGAATGAGTATTTGTGTGTTAGTGAAAAGTATTCTAGAGTTACCCTGCTTTATGGCTTGGCTAAGTATTTTTAACTTTATATTGAAATCCCTTCAGGTCAGATGTATGTTACACGGCTCTTGTTTTCAGAATTTAGCACAATGTCTGGCACAAAGTATGAACTGGACAAAGATTTGCTTAAAGAATAAATGAATAAGTGAATGATTGATTATGTCTTCTGAATCTATTGTGAGTTCTTTAAAAACGGAACCAGTCTTTCTCTCTATATCCCCAGTGTCTACCAGAAGGCTAAAGCAGACAGCTTCAGCTAAGTCAGATGTTTTTGTATTTCTAGACCATCTTTCAAAGATATGAATGAATGAATGAATGAATGAATGAATGAATTGAATGAAAAAGAGGCTGTCATGTATGTCCATGGTGACATACATTTAGAAGGCATAAAATACATTTTAAGTGTACTATTATATTTATTAAATCAAATATAATTATATATATGAAATAAACTTTCTGTGAAAGGTCTGTTTTATTTTAGCTTTTTTGTCATCTTAAAATAAAGCACTGCACAGTCAAAAATTGTTTTCAATCATCTACATTTTGCCATTTTTGTTGATCTTTTCATAAGAAAAGCCTTACCTCCAATAGAATTCTGAGTATATTGAAACATTTTGTTGTAAAAATATCTCTATTTGAAACATGAAAATAATTAAAATGTTTAAGCAATAAAAACTACAGATATACACAAATGTAAAACAAATTTTAAAAACTATGTTGCATAGTTTTCTGATAGAAAACTATTACTGTTGACTGATTTTTATATTTTTTCTTTTAAAAAGTAAACTCAGCAAATTAAACATGGTAAAATATATTTTTCGTCCATATATGCTATAAAAATTTTATGCATATAATGATTTTTTAAGACAAAAACTTGAGCAATTTAATAATGTTTTAATAGTATTTGCATTTCTTTTTCTCGACACATTATGGAATAATTGTGTGCACAACACTGTTCTAGATTCTGACCTTACAAAAGTCAGAAAACTGACAGTTTCTGTCATGATTAATCTTGTATTCTAGTAGCAGTAGGCTTACAATAGACAAGTAAATATTTTGAGATATCAATTTCAGATTCTGGTAAGTACCACGGAGAAATTAAAATAGGATGCTTAGAAAAAAGAAGTCAGTTTCTGACATGTTAAATATGAGGCTTTAGTATGGACTTAATTTTTTTTTTTTTGCTAAATCACCTACTCTTAAGCCATTTGTGGATTATACTTTAAACTTTAGTAGGATCCTATTGAGCATCATTTTTTTTAATTGGGTGGATATTTTTCTGACATAAAAGCTTTTGTAAGAAATATTTGGTGTAATATAAAATATGATGTTAACTCTGGTGATTATCCTATTAGATCAATGAACATTTTATGATTTTTTAAACTAAAGATAAAGGAAAAAAGCATATTTATAGCTTCATATTTTCAACATGATTTTGTTGCTAATAAAGCTTATGATTTCAGATACGACCTTGTGATTTCAACTTCATCTGTAAAATCAAGAATCTTTCAGTCAGCTTACAGCTTTTATATTGTCATTTATTATTATTATTTTTAGACACGAAGGAAAATGACTACGTTGCAGATACTCTTCAAAAAGTTTGGGCTCTGTTAGAAATGAATAAAGAACAGTATGCTATTTATCTCTTAAGGTAAAGTGGTACGATGGTATTTTTTATTCTAGTATCTTGGTGTCCTTCAACTTCCTGTTCAAATGCTATCATTTTCATGAGTTGTCTCTAATTACTGCAATTAGAAGCATATCATTCCTTCTTAACTTCCACAATATTTTATTGGAATTGTTTCTATGGGTACTTACTACTTTTTCTTGGTCTTAATTGTGCTTGTTTAAACTTCTAAGCAGAAGAACTCTGAGAAGCAGAACAGAGTTCCTTGAAGTCTTATGGTGCTGAGGAGACAGAAGTTAGGGTTTAGGACCTACTTGGGGTGGGGACTCCAGTAAAAACAATTAAAATTGTCCATTGAAATCCATGGAGAGAAATACTCCAGAAATGGGCTAATCAGAAGTAGATTGAACCTTAGGAAAAGATTTTTCCAACCATGTCTGAGAGATAGGATAATCTGAACAAAATTAAGAAGTGTGTATATATATATATATATATGAAAGAAGCAGACCCTCTGATGGTGTTGGAGTTAGCAGACAAAATCTCTATAGTTAACTATTGTGGAAATGACCAAGAAAATAAAGAGAAAGCAGATGAAAAGTTTAGTAAAGCACAGTCAAATGGAAATTACATAAATAAAAATTATAGTAACTGAAATAAAAAATCTATAATGGATTTAACAGCAGATTCGACAGAAGAGGACATTAGCAAATTGCGAGATAGGGCAGCAGCAAAGTGTCCTAACTGAAGCATGAGGAAACAAGTAGAGAACAAGGCAAGAACATAATGGACATGTGGGAGAAGCTCAGAAAGCCTCATACTGTAACTATAGTCCAAAAGGGTAAAAAAGATAATAGCTGAGAACTTTAAACTGATAATGTGCATCCACTCATATTTTCAAGAGACTCTGCCTATAGACGCCATGTAGAACGTGAAGAAAAGCACATCTAGACTCATCATAGTCAAACTATTGAAAACCAAAGGGCAAAAGAAAACCATTCAAAGCACCAGAGGAATAATAGATATTATCTGCAAAGGACAATCAGACTAATAGCTATGTGTAGCAGTATATTCATGACATGTGCAATGCAAACTGCAGAAGTTGGGTAAAAGGTTTTAAAGAGTCCTAAAATTCTAGGATTATTATAGAAATGGCTAAAGTAATAATTTAGATGAAACCCTAACAGGACAAGGAGGCGTGCCGTATTCTCTAGCAATATGCAAATAGATCAACTAGTAAATTTAAGAAGAAATATTAAAATTAATCTTACACATCTTCCAGAGAATTGAAAAAGTGTAAACATTTATCACCTCAAAACCTTGATGAAAAGTAACTCAGTGAGGACAGTGAAATAAATGAAATTGCAAACCAATCACCCTTTTGAAATTAGACCCAAAAAGTATGTGATAAAATATTAGAACTCAAAATTGGAATTAAAAGGATGGTACCTTATAACTCTCTTAGCACTCTGGGACATGCAATGGTGGTTTAAATAGAAAATTTGTCATTTTAAGTCAGCACATTCATAGGAAAAAGGGACAAATTTGGTCCTCTGGACAGATTCAGAAAAATCATTTGATAAAATTTAACACACATTCTAAATTTAAAAAAAATTAGCAAGCTAGGATTAGAGAAGACCTTCCTTAATACATTAAAATACACAATATTAAAAAAACTGCTACAAACATGATTAGTTGTGAAATTTTGAAGGCTTTTCCTTGAGTTTGGGAATGAGACAAATATCCTGTCCAACAACTCTATTCAAGATAATCCTGGAGTTCCAAGAAGGGTGAAAAAGAAACAAAACAAAATAAAAGTTATTATGATTTGAAGGGAGTAAATATAATCACCACTGCTTATCAATGATATAATTGTGTATGTAGAAAATGCCAAAAAAATACATAAAATTATTAAAATGAAGAAGACAATTAAGGAATTTGCTGGAAACAAGGTCAATATAAAATAACAATTGAATTATTATTTATAAGCAAGACACAAATAGAAGATTACAAAAACACATAAAAACTTAACCTAAACTTAATGAAAAAATTCCATGATGAACCAAATGATCAAAATTTCAAATAATGATAGACTCTAAATCTGTCCTTGTCTAACCCTGAGAATGAGTACTTCACTCATCTCTCCCAATTCGGGTGCACAGATACTCTTATTGCTTCTTAATTCACCATGATTAACTTTACTCCAGAACTGTTCTCTAAAAGAGGTGCTCTTTTGCTCAAGATTCCAGTTGCATGGATGCATACAGAAAGCACAACCCTCCTTCTCCATTCTGCTTCTGAATTCTGGGGAAGATCCCAAGATCAGAAACTATGCCTCATTTTCATGTAAATGATGTGCTAAAACCATAAATTCCCGTTAGAGTGTCGGATCAGTTCACTAGAGAGGTATATTTGAAACGCAGACAGAAGTCTCTCTGGGAGCTGGCCTTCCATTCCATGTGATCTTTCCACCATAGCCAAGAGCATTACCCAGAACTTGTCCATGCCCAATACAGAGGGCATTCAATAGTTTGAGCTCTACAGCTGAGTCTACTGGACAGATGAAACTGACAAATCTAACTGATATTTATACTTAAATAGTAGGAGCATCTCTTCCTAGTAGGTCTTCATTATAAGGCCAAGAGCACATTGTTTGGTATAAGATCTAATATTAACCCCAGCTTTACTAATTATCAGATGTATGAACTGGGGTAATTTCTTATCCTCTCTGAACTTTAATTTAATAGCTATGTGTAGCAGTATATTCATGACATGTGCAATGCAAACTGCAGAAGTTGGGTAAAAGGTTTTAAAGAGTCCTAAAATTCTAGGATTATTATAGAAATGGCTAAAGTAATAATTTAGATGAAACCCTAACAGGACAAGGAGGCGTGCCGTATTCTCTAGCAATATGCAAATAGATCAACTAGTAAATTTAAGAAGAAATATTAAAATTAATCTTACACATCTTCCAGAGAATTGAAAAAGTGTAAACATTTATCACCTCAAAACCTTGATGAAAAATAACTCAGTGAGGACAGTGAAATAAATGAAATTGCAAACCAATCACCCTTTTGAAATTAGACCCAAAAAGTATGTGATAAAATATTAGAACTCAAAATTGGAATTAAAAGGATGGTACCTTATAACTCTCTTAGCACTCTGGGACATGCAATGGTGGTTTAAATAGAAAATTTGTCATTTTAAGTCAGCACATTCATAGGAAAAAGGGACAAATTTGGTCCTCTGGACAGATTCAGAAAAATCATTTGATAAAATTTAACACACATTCTAAATTTAAAAAAAATTAGCAAGCTAGGATTAGAGAAGACCTTCCTTAATACATTAAAATACACAATATTAAAAAAACTGCTACAAACATGATTAGTTGTGAAATTTTGAAGGCTTTTCCTTGAGTTTGGGAATGAGACAAATATCCTGTCCAACAACTCTATTCAAGATAATCCTGGAGTTCCAAGAAGGGTGAAAAAGAAACAAAACAAAATAAAAGTTATTATGATTTGAAGGGAGTAAATATAATCACCACTGCTTATCAATGATATAATTGTGTATGTAGAAAATGCCAAAAAAATACATAAAATTATTAAAATGAAGAAGACAATTAAGGAATTTGCTGGAAACAAGGTCAATATAAAATAACAATTGAATTATTATTTATAAGCAAGACACAAATAGAAGATTACAAAAACACATAAAAACTTAACCTAAACTTAATGAAAAAATTCCATGATGAACCAAATGATCAAAATTTCAAATAATGATAGACTCTAAATCTGTCCTTGTCTAACCCTGAGAATGAGTACTTCACTCATCTCTCCCAATTCGGGTGCACAGATACTCTTATTGCTTCTTAATTCACCATGATTAACTTTACTCCAGAACTGTTCTCTAAAAGAGGTGCTCTTTTGCTCAAGATTCCAGTTGCATGGATGCATACAGAAAGCACAACCCTCCTTCTCCATTCTGCTTCTGAATTCTGGGGAAGATCCCAAGATCAGAAACTATGCCTCATTTTCATGTAAATGATGTGCTAAAACCATAAATTCCCGTTAGAGTGTCGGATCAGTTCACTAGAGAGGTATATTTGAAACGCAGACAGAAGTCTCTCTGGGAGCTGGCCTTCCATTCCATGTGATCTTTCCACCATAGCCAAGAGCATTACCCAGAACTTGTCCATGCCCAATACAGAGGGCATTCAATAGTTTGAGCTCTACAGCTGAGTCTACTGGACAGATGAAACTGACAAATCTAACTGATATTTATACTTAAATAGTAGGAGCATCTCTTCCTAGTAGGTCTTCATTATAAGGCCAAGAGCACATTGTTTGGTATAAGATCTAATATTAACCCCAGCTTTACTAATTATCAGATGTATGAACTGGGGTAATTTCTTATCCTCTCTGAACTTTAATTTTTTTTCATTTTTAATACAAGGATAAAAATATCTACATCATAGTGCTAGTCCTTTATAAATCTGTGAAGATAAATAAAGGTAACACAGGAAAATTATTTAGCACAATACAGACTGAGCCATTCCAGAACATGAACTATTACAGATATTGTTATTATTACAACATGGGGAACTTTGAGGTCCTGGGGCCTAGCCTCGTATTCTCACAGCTTTAGGGTCAGAATTTCCAGTCAAACTTGGGGCAAGGCTCAGTTTACCAATATAACTTTCTCTCTGTCCTAGGATGCAAAATTTAAAAAAAAAATCAAGTCTGTCAGGGATTCTCTCTCTAAATCATTCAAGATATTTCACATGGTGTATCAGATGTTGATGGTCCCATATTCATTAGAATTTCCTGAGGCATATGAAAAAGTGTAGAAGGTGGGATGGAAGCAGTGATAGCCTGGAAAGCCTCTGACTCCGTCCCTCATCTTAGAATGGCGGTGGGTCTCATTTCCGTCAATTCCGTAGGTAGCCTGCTTAGTGCCAGGGTGGCCCAGCAAGCACCTCGTTTAGCTTAGGCCAGCCCCCAGATGATTGGCAGAGATGCTCTGCATAAACACACCACCACATTATAGTTCCTAGTTAGGGTGATCAGACTGTTCACCCTCTGAATTTGGATAGTAGCATAGACAGAGAGAGCACTACTAATAATTATGCCAGGATATGAACATATACCAGGATGACCCCGGCAAACCAAGTTATAGAGTCAGTTTTTGTTCTTGTGACTGTTTTAAAAAGCTTAAAATCCTTCCAAGTATAAACCTATCAATTTCTACCCACCACCAAAGAAGAATGATCAAATATAGCATGTAAATCCTGCCCTCCATGAGAATCTCCATGGCTTTGTTCTTCCCACTGGCAGTACAACTAAACCATCTGCCTTCTGAAAGTCAACACCTCCAGCTCTGTGTGTACCTCTAAAGAGGACTATTTTCTATGTCCATTAAGGCTTGCTTCCAAGGTGATATCAGAGACATTACATTAAAAAGCCCTAAGTTCCTGTGCTACTAGAGCTAGGTCCAGTTCCTGGCAGATTGGGAGGATGGGACCCACAGATTCCCTCACATCCCTTCCATCAGGTTCTGGAATAGTATGCCACAGCCCTCCAGAGGGCAGACCCTGAGACACCTCAGCCCATCATCATTCCCACCAGTTGCATGCACCACTCCTCATGCCCCAGAAATCGTGCAGAAGGAAAACTGGCATTTTCCCCTTTCACGGCCTTAGTTTATTTATTTTTTTTTTTTAAATCTAGTTTTCCGAATCCATCCTTACTTTACACTGCATTCTAGTGTCAATTCTCGACACCAATTCCAGAGCTTCAGTGGCTCCCACCCAGTTTTATTGCTGGTTTGACTGCTTCTACTTTTCCTACTCTTGTAACTTTAACTCTGGGGTGATTTCCCACCTATCCGGCAATTACTCTCTCAGTCATGAACTCGGTTCTCCCTTGTCTGAAAACTTCAGATAATTTTGGGCACCTTCAAGAGTCATCTTTTGTGGCTGACCTGGAATGGGCCCCCTACCTTGGTACCAGGTACCATGAGCCCCATAGCTTCCTGCCCTTTTGATCAAGGACTCAATCTGGCCAACAAAAGACTGCAATATATTTTATGTTGTTTTTTTACTATTTCTTTGTGTAAATAAAATGTATTTTAAAAGTTGTTTTGCCATACTTAAATTATTTTTACATTTCTAGACTCATGTTTAAAAGCAAGTGTAAATCTATTGAATCCTATCCATGTTATCAAGATGAAGAAACTAAGCTTGCTTTTGCTGACTATACTGTGACTTATGCAGACCAGCCACCAAATAGTTGGTTTATAGTATTCAGGTGAGGATATCCTATACTGGCAAGTGATGTCACCTTTAAATGGCATGCAATATTCATATGTACAGAGTTTTAGTTATGACAGTAGTGAAAGTAAGAACTTTTAGGCTGTTTTCACAACTTAATTAAAATAGCTTCCACATCTGCTATGCATAAATGAGATATTATAGAAATTTTATCCATGACTTTAAATGAAATATGAAGAATGTGAAGTTTACTAGAACTTTGTATGAGTATGATAAGCATAATACATTGATGTTTGAGCCACTTCTTCATGCTTTAAGTAAAGAAAGAAAACATTTCATTTCCAAGGAACAGCATATTAGGTACAAGTTTCAAACTGCTTATAAAATAAGATTTCTTAAAGGGCTTGCAGTTTCATGACAAAATAGTGTATTAATAATAATTTTTAGAAGAAAACAATATGTACACCATGTAGTTACTTAGAACTTTAATGTTTTTTAGTTCTTATGTCAAACCTAATTTAAAACCTTTCTTTGTGATTCATGTCAAAGTTCATGCCTTTGTAATTACAGAGAAACATTTTTGGTTCCTCAAGATATGATTTTGGTTCCTAAAGTATATACTACACTTCCAGTCTGTATGCTCCATGTTGTTAACAATGACACTATGGAACAGGTGCCTATGGTGTTCCAAAAAGTGGCACCTTATCTTTATACCAAGAATAAGGTAGGTGCAAAATTTGTCCTCCCCATATATAGGATGTCAATGAGAAGGCGGGGTCCTACTGACACTCCAGGAGAAGGCAGAGCAGACGTATTTTCAATCTACTTAACAGAGTAATAGGGTCCTGGTCTCTACAGATATCCCATGTATTTGATAGCAGGAGGTACCTAATGTAAATGCTAGAACATTCACCTCTCAGCCCTCTACTTTCTTCTCTCTAAAGAAAATATGGCAAAAGAAAAATATTAGGCATTCTCATTACTAAAATCATCAAATCATACAAACCCTTAAAATGGAAGTGGAGCTAAAGCCCTTGTTTAGTCCTGTTCCTGAACCAAGCGATTGTCTCGGTTTTGCACCAGGTTTTTATTCCATTCATAAATATTTCCGAAGATCATGATTACACAGCCGCTCACCACCCACCAGTCCCAGTCTTTTCTAGAGCTACAGATTCCTCCCCAGGTCAGAAGCACTTGGCACATTGCTCCTGCTGAATGATAGGCCCTTGTCTCTGATGTTCCACTCACATCGTGTTGTCTCTCTATTTCTTTGAATCTTACCGTGATGTTTTTGGTCATTTCCTCTAAGAAAGAAAGCATGAGAAAAGATGGTGTATACCTGCCCTGGAAACCGGGAGATTTGTTTTAGCTCTGATCTTTCATTTTTTAGCTGTATGGCTTGTCTTTGAATTGTGGTTGTAATTGACTTCTGAGGTTTGTTTCAGCCTATGACTATTCATTTTGTATAAATTAAGACAACCTATCTAATGAGCACTAACTGGTTTATAGGAGTGAAAGATAAACAAAAATTTTATTAAGTCCATAAAAAACCTAATAGCTCTTTTAAGTTGTTTTAGGTTTTTGTTTTTGTTTTCTGTTTTTGAATAAGGCTATTTTTTAGAGTGGTTTTAGGTTCACAGCAAAATCGACAGGAAAGTACAGAGATTCCCCTGCCTCTACACAGGTGCTGCCTCTCCCAGGTGGTACATTGTGTTTTGTGCTGTCTCACCCTATCAATAGTCAGTGTTGTGGTTGGAGTGGCCCTTGTGGTTCTTATTATGCTTGCAGGGTGCCTTTCATCAACAACCATCAGGAAACTTTGAAAATACAGTTTTATTACTTGTAAATTCTGGAAATTTCACAGCACACCTGGAACCACACAGTGAGGTCACAGGTAAAGAGAGAGCTGGGGTTCTGCTCTTATTAGAGTCAAGGGTAGGAGTCTAGACTTTCATGAGTTCACTCTTTTTTGGTGAATTTGAAACCTAAGAGTGGGAATTTAAAGCATGGGGACGAGAAAAGACAAGTGGCCCAAATGGCCATTTGTTGAAATCAACCAAGGTTTCTAAATCAAAGGAGCATCAATCTGGGGAAGTGGCTGACTTTCTACCTAGGCAAGTGGCTGGAAGTGTGTTTATTTGAGATAGACAGCTATCTTTGAAGTGGATGCCTTTTTGAAAAGGTGCCTTAGCAATTAAAAAAAACTTGCCTTACAAACGACAACTCTCAGGATTTACATTATAGTTTATTACAATTGAGCATCCTAATTAATCATATCATAATCACCTGAAGTCCATAGTTCACATTATGGTTCATTATTAGTGTTGTATATTCTGTGGTTTTGGACAAATGTAAAGTGACATTTATCCATTATTATGGTAAAGACTATTACCACTGCTTTAAAGATCCTCTATGATTCATCTACTCATCTCCCTTCCCCACCCCCTGGAAATCACTGATCTATTCTGTTTCCATAATTTTGCCTTTTCCAGACTGTCATAAAGTTGGAATTAAATACTATGTAGCCTTTAAGACTGGCTTCTTTCTCTTAAAAACATGCATTTAAGGTTCATTCTTGTTTTGTAAGGCTTGATGGCTTATTTTTCTTTAGCATTGAATAATATTCCATTGTCTGGATGTACCACAGTTTATTTACCCACTCACCTACTGAAGGACATATTGGTTGCTGCCAAGTTTTGGCAATTATGAATGAAGTGGCTATAAATATCTGTGTATGGGTTTTTGTGTGGATGTAACTTTTCAATTCCTTTGGTTAAATACCAAGGAACAGGATTGCTGAATTGTATAGTAAGAATATGTTTAATTTTGTAAGAAAATGCCAAACCATCATTTAGAGTGTTTATGCCATTTTTCATTCCCACCATCAATGAATGCAAATCCCTGTTGCCCCATATCTGTGTCAGCATTTGGTATTGTCAGTGTTCTGGAGTTGACCATTCAATAGGTGTGTAATGGTGTCTTATTGTTTAAGTTTTTCTGATGACATATAATGTGGGTCATCTTTTCACCTTCTTATATGCCATATCTTCTTTAGTAAGGCATCTGTTAAAATCTTTGACTCATTTTTTAAATCAGGCTATTGTTTTCTTATTGTTAAGTCTTAAGAGGTTTTTTTTTTGTATATTTTGGGTAACAGTCCTTTATCATATGTGTCTTTTGCAAATGTTATCTTCCATTCTTTGTCTTGTTGTATTTTTGGTATTGTATCTAAAAAGTCATTGTCATACCCAAGATCATCTAGACTTTCTCCTGTTATCTTCTAGTATTTTTATAGCTTTGTATTTTATATTTAGTTCTGTAATCCATTTTGAGTTAATTTTTTGAAGGGTGTAGGTCTAATGTATAGATGCATCTTTTTTTGCTTGTGGATGTCCACTTTTCCAAGAACAATTATTAAAAAGACTGTCTTTGGTGCCTCTGCTCTTTTGTCAAAGATCTGTTGACTTCATCTGGGATCTGTGGAACAAATATAACGTTAATTTGATAGCTTTATCTGTCAATTGCCATCCTAAGAGAACTACATTTGCATAAAGTCTTCTGCTTTTTTCATCTTGTACTTAGATGATTCTGAGAAGAGAGGGAATCAAGTAGGAAGCAAGAGGGCTGCTCTAGGATGAAGCATGAATAAAAATCTGCCTTAGAAAGCATTAGAAGAATTAGAAAACATAGCAATCATCTACCATAGTTCAGCACTTTGTTTTGTAGCTAGGGAACCCGCACAAACAAAACTGTTAGAGTTATTCATTTTTCTCTGAAAACATCTAAGATGGCACTTTCTAAGAGGGATTTCAAAACATAATGCTTGTGATTTGCCATGTATCAAGAGATCTTGGGATCTTTATGTATATCAAGGTAATAAAGCATTTTAGTACTGTGAAACCATATATTGTACATTTGAGAGACCAGTAACAATGTAACTTACTTCTGTATAACTCTTCTTTCCTTTAGAAAGGATACACATTAGTGGCTGAAGCATTTACTGGTGACGCGTATGTACCATCTTCACACTGGAAATTGCGCCTCATCGGTCCTTATCATCCACTCCCCTGCCTCTCTCGAGACAGTGCATGCAATGCTTTTGCCATAAAGGAAATCAGAGATTACTACATACCCAATGATAAGAAAATTCTGTTCAGGTATAAGTATATGATGGAGGAGAAATGCATTCTTTTAAAAATATTAATATTTTTATTTTATTAAGTATTTTACTTTAAATTAGATATTAACCATTTTAATTTAAATATTAATGTTTTTTATAGTAAAAGTTGGCCACAAAATCCTAAGTAAGTTTTGGATTTTGATTTCTACACTCTTTTGGAAATAAGTAAGTTAGAGAGTAATGTGATTGCATAGGTGTTACATGGCATCTAGCCTATAGCAATCTTTCCTCTTGTTGCTCTCTCCTTGTTCTGCCCCAGTTCTGACTAGCCTCTCATGTGGGTTTCTCCTTATCTGCCAACTCAACTTTCTTTACATGATTATCTGTACATTCTCCATGAATAGCCTCATCATGGACTAGGTTCCTTCTCATTAATCAGCCTGTTTGATTCTAATTCTGACATACCTCTCATCTCTATGACCTCCTCTCTACCCTCAATGTCCTCCATTACTTCAGGACCTCATTATATCTTGTCGGTAGAAATACTGTTTCTGGAATCCATGACTCCATTATATTCCCTTTTTTAACTCTTAGTGTCTTTGTCCTTATTCACTTACATATCCATTCTTTACGACTAGAGTAGTTCCCTTTGAAATACACACATTTAAATATGCAATTTACCTTCTTTAAATCTCTGACAACTTCCTATTGGCTACAGAATAGAATCCAAACCACAAAGCATAGCATTCAACACTCTTGCCCAGCCACCAAACACACAGTGCTTTCTCTTGATAAAGCTAAGCACCTTCTCCCAACATATAGACAATGTAATTTTATTTTGCTCATCTTTTTCTCTTATTTTGATGTATCTTGTCTCCATTTTTCCACCTAGCAAAATCCATCACTTTAAACAATGATTTTCAACAGTCAAATCCTTTGTACTTAAACCTCCAAATATAAATAGTTGGTCCCATTCATATTTCTATAGCCCTGTCTGAGAATATGACATGCCAAATTTTACCAATTAATTTCACACTGACTTCTATGAGAATTAACATTTATTGAAAGCAGGAACCATGTCTTATCAATACAAGACATATTGATACATGCCTGATATTTTGTTTTTGCCCTTTGTTAAATATTTGTTATCAAATGTGTTGTTAAAATACTTACATTTTTCTTATATTGTTCTACACAGTAAATTGAGAACTAAAGATATTATTATTAAGGAAATAAAAGTCACCCATAATCAATCTAGAAACAATTATTATTAGTATTCTGTTGTATTTTCTTCTAGCCACAGTTTAACATTATTAAAATCATAACATAATTAAAGTATTATAATCTAACCATTTTTACATAAAATTATAGTGTGAGCATTTCCCAATATCATTAAGGCATTTTGTAATGTAAGTAATTTCCTAATAATTACTAATCATGAAAAAGAATATACAATTTACTTGGTTATTGGCAGTTCTTTATTGTTGCAAAATTTCCATTTCTACAGTCTTAATAAAGATTTGATCGTGTATTTTATTATAAATATTAAAGTAAATTCCTGATTATTGTCCAAAGATTTGTGATTTTAACAGATTATGTTTTAAATCTGTTAAATCTCCATATATATTGGTAGGTTGGTTTTCAAAAAGAAAACCTAAGTCTTTTTGATAATATGTGTTCCTTTTTTGGCTTTGAAGAATTATGAGTACTATACCCTATTGCTTTATTGATAAATACTTCGGCATATTTTGGCATATTTCCTAAGTATACACTGCTTCTGTACTTGGCCTTTCCAAGCTTTGTGGTAGTAGTGCTTTTTTTATTTATTAAGGTATCATTGATACACACTCTTATGAAGGTTTCACTAGAAAAGCAATGTGGTTATTACGTTCACCCTTATTATCAAGTCCCCCCCATGCCCCATTGCAGTCACTGTCCATCAGTGTAGTAAGATGCCAGAGTCCCTAAGATAATATGTGTTTTATTTAGCAAATTATAATTTATTGTATTCTGGTTGATTTTTCTCAGATAATTCTTATTTTTACTAAGATAATTCTTATTTATTTGTACTATAAAAGCTTTTCCATTTACAAACCTTGCATACATTTTTGTAATTAAAAATAATCAGCAATAAAATTAGATTACAGAGCAATATATAAAGTATATCACATGTATATTTTCTTATATTTTTGTTTATGTATTTTATGTGTGGGTAAAAGTTCAGAGAAAATACTGAAAGCCAACACAAGCTAAGGACATGAAAGGTGAAGCGGTCTCTTTTCAATCTCTCTGCTTCTTGTCATATATTTATATATTGCTTATTAGAAAGAAAGCAAGAAAAAGAAAGGAGAGAAGAAAGAAACATACCACTAATTAAAAATAACAGTTGTGATACTATGATAAGACTCCACCATATCACATAGCAGGGCCACTAATAGACTAAGAAGTAGTGTTTAACCTAACACCTAAAAATCAGTCCTGGAAGCTGGTCCTAAACTGTTAACCTGAGCTGGAGGGAAGAGGAGGGAACTGCTTGACCACACATGTGAAAGTCCAGAAATTAAAGAGTATGTGACCTTTCAGGGAACTGAAGACCTCTGTGTGCAAAGTGGGGTTCTAGGAGGCTATGGCAAGTGGTAAGGTCAAAGAGGTCAGCAGAGTCTTTTCCTGCAGGGCCTCATAAGGCAAGAGATTCAGAGTTTACCTTAGCGGCAATGAAATTGGCTTTGAAGCACTTTCAGAAAAATGGCATTAACAGACTTGAAACATTATGTTTTCTGTTTGGGATTTGATGATAATAAATGTCGTATACTTATTTCATTTTGCCATACCATATGGGATCTTTTGCTAAAACCTATAATAGCAGTAGTATTCCCACAATTTTAGTGCACTTTACAAAGTGGTTTTACTTGTAGATTGTCATATCAGCAAATTACAATTTCCTTTACTGACTTGAGGGAAAGACCAGTATATTGCTTATAAAGTTGACTGTTTTCCTTTATAGGTACTCAATTAAAGTTGCATTACCACATCCTGTTACAATACAGGCACACACATCCAAACCAGATGTGTTCATCAAATTACAGATCCTAGAAAATGAAGAAACTATTGTTAGCTCCATTGGAAAGGGCCAAGCTATAATCCCAGCAATTAACTTCATGGGGAGCGAAAATGCTTTGAGCTCCCAGTGTAAGTATGGCTTTTAAAATTGGTTATTTAGATTCATAAACAGATAATTTTGTTCATTGACTGATTTTTAAAATGTTTTATTTCAGATAAAATAGGAAGTAAAATTTAAATCTGTGAAACTTGATATTAAAGTAAAATGTTCTTTAAAAAACTTGCATTTTTGTGTCAGATTAGTTTCTGAACACCAACAGATTTGTTATAGTTGTACTTTAATTCTTATTACATTAGCCTTTATAGATTTATGAATAAAAACAGCATTTTTATTATTTTCAAATAATTACTTTTAGCCCTAATTCATTATTTTTAGAAAGTATTCTACATATTAAAGTTAACAGGAACTTGGAAGTTATTACTTTCAGTGTAATAGTCACAAGAGCTATTAATAACAATTATTTCTGAAATAATGAACAGTGATACTGTAAGATATATATATATATGATATATATATATATATATCATATATATATTGAGTTAGTTCAGAACTTGATTCTGACTATAAAAACAACACATGATCAATGTTGAATATTTGGAACAAAATCATAAACAAAAGAACAAGAAATCCCATGTAATCATGATACCCAGAAAATACTATTAATATTTTAGCTTTGATATCTTCATTCTCACATTTTTATTTTAAAACTGGAATTTTACTTATTTTGAGAACTGATATTTCTTCCTACAACTGTAATTTTTTTCTTATTTGTGTCATTGGATGGAACTTCCAAACTTATGTTACATAAGAGTGAAGATGATATATTTCCTTTTCTTAAATGGGAAGACTATAGTATTAACTATTAAGAATTATGTTTGTGGTTGACTTCTAATAATTGTCCTTTATAAAATTTAAGGGTTCTTTCTATTGATAGCTAGAACTTTAATGTAGAATGGGTCTGGAAGTTTATTACTATGTTGTTGTTTATAGAAATCATCAAATTTTATACCTTTGAATTTCATTACTTTTTAATTTTGAATCATTCTTGGAGCAAAACTTATCATCTATGATGTTTTAATATACTCCTCTGGGTAGGAATATGCAATTTTATTTAGTTTGTTGAAATGTATTGGTAACTAAATACCTCCAGGGGTGTTTTTCTCTCTTGTGTGTACACCATACAATACTCCTTTCAGATTCTCAAGTTAAAATTATGACAAATTCTTGGAATTAATTTGGAAACTTTCTCATTTTGGAAGCCATTTAAATATAGAGGAATCTTGTTTTTAAAGTTTATTAGATTTGCCCTCAAAACTATTTGTCTACTGTTCTCAAGGGAATAAATTTTTATTTGTTTTTAATTACCTTTTAATTTTTTCAAGCTTTCATTTTTACAATATGTTTTTATTTAAAAATTGAGTTTCATCTAGTATTTCAAATATATCTGCATACTTTTGCATAAAAATTTTATAATTTTTAAATGTCTTCTGAATATGTTTGAGTAAATATTTTTAAACATTACTTATTTGTGTTTTAAAAAATGTTTTATGTTGACCAGACTTCTGATCAACAGACTTCCCAGAAGTTCTCTCGGTTTTATCTTAGAATGATTCTTGGATTAATTTACCAAGACTAATTTAATCAAACCTAAGTATCATTTTATACTCCTACCAGGCAAAATATGAGAGTTCTAGTTTGTCCATATTTTGGCCAATATTTATTATTGTCAGTGTTTTTTTATTTTAGTCATTTTGGTATGTATGCAATGCTGTTTCTTTGTGGTTTAAATTTGCTGGCTAATGAGCTCTTTAAGTGTCTTTACTGGCCATATGTATAACTCATTGTATAAAGTGTCCATTCACATAATACACTCATATTTTAATGGATTGTCCTTCTTCTTTATATATTCCCAGATACAAGTGCTTCATCAATTATGTGCTTTGCAAATATGATCTCTTACTAAGACCTTTCTTTTTATTTCTTTAACTTTTGAAGTACAGAGACTTTTAATTTTGACAAAATAAAAGTTGACATTTAAAAAAGTACTAGTGAAGTTTATATTTTATCTAAGAAATCTTTCCCTAATCCAAGGTCATTAGTGTCTCATTTCGTGCTTTATCCTAGAAATTTTATAACCCTAACATTGATGTTCAGTTTTATGATCCATCTAGAATTAATTTTTGTATATGATGTAAGGTAGGGGGGTCTCAAGGTTTTTATTACCATGTGGATATCCCATTGTTATAGTACTATATACTCTAAAGCAACTATTTTCTATATTGTATTACCTTGATATTTTTGTCAAAAATATATTGACTATGTGTGCATGGGTCTATTTTGAGACTCTATTTTTGATGTAAATTTCTGCTCTTAGTCCATTACCACATGTTCTTGAAAATTGTAGCTTTAGATTTTGTTGGAGACTGTGTTGAGTTTGAGCATTGGCATCTTAACAAAACTTGAGTTTTCTGATCCAGGAGCACAGTATATCTCTCAATTTTTTTTAGTTTCTAATTTATCTCAGCCATATATACTTTCAATATATAGATTTTACACACAGTTTATTAAATTTATACCTAAGTATTTAATTTTTATAGAAACTCTATGTAGAACTAAGAATATACATACTTACCTGTATTTTTTTCCTAGGGCTGCTGTAGTGCATTAGGACAAACTGGGTGGCTTAAATAACAAAAAATTGTTCTCACGGTTCTGGAAGGCAGAAATCCTAAATCAAGGTGTTATCATAGCCACACTTTCAACCAAGGCTCTATGAGAGAATCCACTCTTGCTTCTTCCAGCTTTTGCTGGCTGCTGGCGTTCCTTGGCTGTGACAACGTACCTGCCAATCTCAGCCTCTGTCTTCACATGGCCTTCTTTCTGTGTGTCTGTGTCTTCTTTTCAGTCTATTTTAAGGTCGTCCATCTTTGGCTTTAGGATCCACGCTATTCCAGGCTGATCTCATCTGGGGATCCCTTAATTATAGCTGCAAACCCCCCTTATGTCACATAAGGTCACATTCTGGGGTTTTGGATGGACATATTTCTTTTTAGAGGTCACTATTCTACCCACTACAATATCCTACCATGGACCACTTAGCATCTGTTCAAATTTTTCCTCTCTCTCCTATTTAGATCATTTCTATTTATCTTCAAGTTTACTAATATATATTTCTGAATTTGACAATGTCTTTTTAAGTCCACCCAGGAATGTTTCATTTTAAATATAGTCAGATCCAGAATTTCATTTTGATTCTTTATGTATTCCATTATTCCATTGATATTCACCATCATTTGTTCTTTCATTATGCCAAAGCTTCCTCTTAAATCCTTAAGTATTTTTAAATAACTACTTTAAAGGCCTTGTTTGCTAGTGCCAACATCACTGTTTCATCTATGTGGTTATTTTTATTGATTTTTTTCTCAAATTGTGGTCACATTTTCTGCTTCATATATCAAATTGATTGTGTGCTATATATTGCACATGCTACATTGTTAAGGTGCTAGATTATGTTCTCTTCATCCTAAGAGTTTTGAATTTTGTTCTGGCAAGCAGTTTATTGATAACTTAATCCTATCAAGATGTAGTTCTAAGATTTCATAAGTTAAGTATAGAGTTTTCATTACTGCAGAGTTTGAGTAGCTCTACCCTTAAGAAATAGTCTTTCTTGAGTCTCAACTGAATACCCTGTGTGTTCATTAAATTTCCTTCATTTGGGCAGAACTCCAAAGTCTCTTAACACTGTGTAACCTTCAGAATATGCATTAAACTCACAATGTCTAGTAGTAGTTGTCTAATAAGCATTATTAGGTATTTGTACAAATGAAGTTTAGAATTCCGCAGAAGACTCTAGGGCATCCCGATACGTATTTCCGGACTCCTTTGCTGTCCAGATGCCTGTTGTATGATGTCTTGCCTCACATATTTCAGTTGAATCAGGAGCCCCAAACTCCAATCTGTGCTTCCTGATCCTGCCAACACTGCTGTTTGCTGTTGGAACTCTACTTCCCTGTATCACAGTTGAGAAGATGCTCACAGGCAGAAATCTAAGAGAGTGGAGAGATCATCTTGTATGTTTCCCTTCTCTTAAGGATCACTTCCTGTACTGGCTGTTGTCTAATAGCTGAAAACAGTTGCTTTATACATTTTGTCCAATTTTTTTTTATCATTCTTTATGGAGTTGAGACTAAATCCAATGTCCGTTATTCTGTTATGTCTGGAATTGGAATTTCCCTCTGTCATTCATTTATGTTCCCTCCACATATGTTTGATGAATTAATTAGTAAAATTCCAAACTTTTCTATTTTTATTCCACCCAATAGTACTTAAATGTCAATTACAAAATAATGAATGTAGAAATTAAAAATTAAAATTAAGATCTTGTATAGGTGTGATGACGCATAAATAGTATTAAACACTGAAGAAGTCAGAGTGTGTGTCATTAGTTTAGTGTCATTCAAATGGCACAGAATGAATGAAAAATTGCTGAATTGTATATCTTTTAGCAGTCAGTGGTTGCTCTGAATATGCATTGCTTTATGCAATTCACATACTATTATAGAAGTTTCTTTAATACCAGAATATTTCTGAGAAGCCAGTGATGTTGGTTTTTATCTCATTAAAACAAAACAAATAGACCTATTCCTTGGAGTGGGATATAAGTAAATAATACAACCAGTAATAACTGAGCATTTCACATATTTTAGTTTAAATGTAATATTTCTCTTATTCAGCTAGCAAGCAAATTCTTTCAAGTAATGCTTCTTTCAAGAAGGAGCAAGAAATGTCCATTAAGAAGAAATCTACCCTGGGAAGTCAGAAATCCTTTAAGATGAGACCTGAAAGTGCAATAATAGACACTGGTCAGCCTATCTTGGAAAATGAAACTACCAGTGTGCCAATTATAGAAGAAAATACTGTCACACCACAGCAGGTATATTTGCACTTAAAAGAATTAGTCAATGGTACTGCTTCTAAAAATCTAACATAAATTACAATTCTATTTCTAAAAATTGTCAATGGATAATACTTTCTATATCCAATGTCCCTGGTATATAACTAGCATTGAAAACTTAGATGTTATTGAACAGTTTCTCTGTGCCAAGATTTTAAAGTATGTGGCAAATTTAATCTGTCCACTAACAATATAATGTAGATGGAATTATATTACACATGAGTTATAAGAAGCTATGTAACTATAAAAAGGCCATATTAATAAAAATTAATTTTTATGTACCTGAAGCTAAAGAAATGAAGGACAATGCATGTAATTTAAAGCAGTAAAAGAAAACATAACCTATCCATTGGGAAAAAAAAGACATAAAAAAATGAAATTAAAATGCCAGAAATAAATCCTACTTTAACAGAAATTACAATAAATACAACTGGATTATTAATTGAAAAAGATAAAGTTTTAATTAAAGTTGGATAAAAAATTAGATCCAACTATAAGTAGTCTAAAAATGACACTTTTAAGCAGACTGTCACAGAAAGTTTGAAGTTGACTCAAGAGAGAGTTTTAGTGATATTTTAATATCTTAGTACATAGAATTCATGAGAGATATTATGTAAAAGTAAAAGGAAGAATAAAACAAGTGAATGTGACAGTAACTAACATATAGACATACAGCTGTCTATTTCAATAAATAAAAAGTAAAAACTTTTAGACCACAGGGAAAAATAAATAAGTTAACAATGAATAGATGAGTATTCTAACACACACCACTCAGAAACCAACAGATCAACCTGAAAACACAATACACAGGATCTCTAGGATTTGAAAATTTTAAGTATAAACTTAATTTTTTTAGGTATCTCTATAGAAAACTTCACCTAAAAAAACAGAATATACATAAAGAAGTCTCAATAAAAAACAAACTATATAATATAGATGTTACCTGAATGTAGTGTAATACTATATAGCTTAGTAATTACAGGCCTAAAGTCCCAAAAATGTGGAAACAAAATAAAATATATTAAATAATCGTTAAAAAAAAACAAGTAACCTGATTTAAAAATGGACAGAGGCCCTGAACAGACATTTTTCCAAAGAAAAAATACAGATGACCAACAGGCACATGAAAAGATGCTCCACATTACTAATCACCAGGGAAATACAAATTAAAACCACAATGAGATATCACCTCACACCAATTAGAATGGCCACTATCCAAAAGACAGGAAATAGCAAATGTTGACAGGATTCAGAGAAATGAGAACCCTCCTATACTGTTGGTGGGAATGTAAATTGGTGCAGCCACTGTGGAAAGCAGTATGAAATTTCCTCATAACCTAAAAATAGACATACCATACAATCTAGTAGCTCCAATTCTAAGAATTTACCCAGAAAAACAATATCTCTGATTCAGAAAGATATATACACTCCTATGTTTATTGCTGCATTATTTACAACAGGCAAGATATGGAAGCAACCTAAGTGTCCATCAATAGATGAATAAAGGAAAGGCAGTACATATGTACAATGGAATATTATTCACTCATAGAAAGAAAAAATCCTGCCATTTATGACAACATGGATGGAACTAGAGGATAGTATTATGCTAATGAATAATCCAGGCAGAGAAAGACAAATACTATGTCATTTCACTTATATGTGGAATCTGAAAGCAAAACAAAATAAAATGAATTAAACAGTAGACTCATAGACACTGAAAAGTGACTGGTGGTTACCATGGGGGAGGGGTTGGGGTAGGTGGGTGTATGGGATACATGAGGGGGATAAGGAGGCACAAAAATCTCAATCATAATATAAATTGGTCACAGAGATAGAAGTGCAGCATGGAGAATAGAGTCTATGGTTCTGTAACGTCTTCCCATGTTGACAGAGAGTAACTGCACTAGTTGGGATGAGGATTTAATAATGTGTGCAACTGTTGAATCACTGTATTGTACACTTGAAATCAATATAATATTATATACCAACTATACCTCAATTTAAAATATATAAATAAATAAAATGCTTCAAAGTCATAAAAAAGACATCTAACATTAAATTATAAAATAAAAAGATATTAATAGCAATACAAAATTACAAATCAAAATTTGTAAGGCACATCTAAGGTAGCATTTAGTGGAATGTTTACTTTAATTCATCAGGAAGTATGAATGCTTAAAAACAGATGAACTAGGTTATTGAAACAAAAAATAAGAGAAAGAACAAATGATTAACTTAAAGAAAAAGAAGGAAAATTTTTAATAAAAATGAGAGTAGAAATCAATGAAATAGGGAATGAAATTTAGGAAGATTAATAAATCCTAAGCTTTTATAAGATTAATAAAGTAGACATAGTTCTTGTAAGAGCAATCAAGAAAGAAAAAGAAATTAAGTATAAATAAATGAAATACAGAACAACAAAATACGGTAGAGCTATAACTGCAAACAAAATATTTTTCAAAAAGTATTATACACAACTCTATGCTAGCAAATTTAAAACTTAGGGGAAAAACATGAAAAGTTTCTTGGGTAGGGAGAGGAATAGTAAAGCTCCTCCACTAGAAAATAGAAAATATGAAATAAAATAAGAATAAAAATTACAAGGAATAATAAAACTGAAGTGATAATCAATCTTACCTTTCCAAAAAGCCATAGGACTAGCTAGCTTTACAAGATAGATCTACACTATTGACTTGCAAAGAGAAAATTTTCTAGAAAACAGAAAAACAATACAAACTTCCCAGTTCTTTTGAAGAGATTAATGTATTCCTGATTCCAAAAATGATAAGAATAACAAAAGTAAAAGAATAAATTTCATTTATAAACATGGATGAAAAATTTTAAATTCTATAGTACATAATTGTAGGTATTGTGGAGATGTAGGATAAACATTCACAGATTGTGGTTACCACAGAATTTTGGAAGATATATGAGAGTATCTAATTGAATTATGATTGTATGATCCAGAAAAACATGCACTTATAATGTGCCTACAATAATAAAGTACACACATGCTATGTTTATTATTATTTGTGCTAAACATTGCATTTTATTTCACAGATTTCCAAATATATTATACAGTGCTCAGTTTTGTACAACAGTTGGCCTCTCACTGAAAATCAGCTGGCATTTGTTCAAGCACTAAAGGACTTAGAGAAAAATGATAGCAAAGGTATGTCACCATAAATGTTATTCATGCATTTTATATTTTATATAAATATTTAATAGTAAATTTATCACATAATTATTAAAATATTTTCCTTTTCCAGTTTATATTTTATATGAAATGGTGTTTTTATTTTTATATATATTTATATCATAGTTTTATTATATTTTATATAAAACATTATTGCTTTATTACAATTTATATTTTGCATCCAGTGGCATTTCCCGTTTTGTTAATTGATTACGTTTCAAGATTGTTACTGCTTGGTTTATTATAAGAACTAAAAATATGTGGTTTTTCAGGTCTAGCTTAAACACATTTTGTCCAGTTGTTAAAAATTACTTGATGATTATGTGAGAAATGTACAGGAAACTGTTCTAGTTATAAAACTATATTTTTCCAAGTTGTTGAAAAAGTAGAAGATAAGTTCTTAAAAAAGTTAAAAGAAGGAGAATGTTCTAGTGAAAGAGAATTCAGGTTTATGTTTTTCAAAATAAAAACAACGTTCAATACTCCTCAATTGGAAATGATAGTTTGATGCTTTAGAAAAAGAAATTTCACATAGCCACTACCCCTAAGATTTACATTACATTATTCACTATAATAAATGAATCAGAAGGACTGAATATTTTCAGTTAACGTTCTCTTAAAATTTTAAGTCAGATTGCCTAATCATAAAAACTCACATATGTATGTTACTTTAAAAATAAAATAAGACCACACAATACCAAATGGACATTTTTCTAAAGAAGACATGCAAATGAGCAATAGCTAAGGTGCTCAACATTGCTAATTATCGTGGAAATGCAAATCCAAACAACAGTGGTATATTACCTCACACCTCTTAGAATGGCTGTCAGTAAAAAGACGAGAGATATCAAGTGTTGGTGAGGATGTGGAGAAAACAGAACTTTGTGCATTGTTGGTGAGAGTGCATATTTGTGCAACCACTATGGAAAACAGTGTGGTGGTGCCTCAAAAAATTAAAAATAGGACTACCATATAATCCAGCAATTCCACTTCTTCCACTTCTGTGTATGTATTTAAAGGTAATGAAATCACTATGTGAAACAGATACCTGCACCCCCGTGTTCATTATAGCATTATTGACAATAATCAAGACATGGAAACAACGTAAGTATCCATCAAAGTTGAATGAATGAATAAAAAAATTTTGGTATATATATGCAATAGAATATTATACAGCCATAAAAATGAAGGAAATATTGCCATTTGCAACAACATGCATGGACCTTGATGGCATTATGCTAGGTGAAATGTCAGACAGAAAAAGCAAATCCTGTGTGATCTTATTTAAATGTGGAATCAAAAAAAGCCAAACTCATAGAAACTAGAACAGATTGGTGGTTGCCAGATGAGGGGCTGGATGATGGAGAAAATGAGTGAAGGTGGTCAAAAGGTACAAACTTCTAGTTATAAGTATATAAGTTCTGGGGATATAATGTACAGCATGGTGACTATAGTTAAAAATACTGTATTCATAGTTGAAAGTTGTTGAAGGAATAGATCTTAAATTATAAGAAAGAAATTGTAAATATGTGAGTTGATAAATGTTAATTAAACTTATCAAGGAAATCATTTCACAGTATATACAGATATCAAATCACTATTTTGTGTACCTTAAACTAAGACAATGTTGTATGTCAATTCTATCTTAATAAAACTTGAAAAAGAAGAGTTGAAAACTGAATATCCACACACAAACCTGCACATGGATGTTTGTAACAGCTTTATCTGTAATTGCCAAAACTAGGAAGCAAGCAAAACATCCTTTAATAGGCAAATAGATAAAAAAGCTGTGGTGCATCCAGACAAGGGAGTACTATTCGGCTTTAAAAGGACATGCACAGTCAAGACATGAAAAGAAATCGAGGAACCTAAAATGCATATTACAGGGCGAAAGAACACAATCTGAAAAAGTTCCACGATGTATGACTCCATTTTATGACATTCTGGACAAGGCAAGCCTATGGAAACAATAAAAATATCAATGGGTACCAGGGCCTGCATGGTGGAGGAAAGGACAGTTGGAGGGCAGAGGATTTCCAGGGCAGTGAAAATGCTCTGTAGGATACCAAAATGATGGATACATGCCATTGAACATCTTTCCAAACCTAAAGAATGTACACCACCAAAAGGATTAGTAAGGTAAGCTGTTGACTTTGAGTGATTTGATGTGTCAGTGTGGGCTGATCAATTTTAAGAACCACTCTGTGGAAGATGTTGAAGATGTAGATATAGATGTGTCGAGTATAGGGTAAATCTCTGTGCCTTCCTCTTAATTTTTCTATGAACCTAAACTTCTCTAAAAAGAATAGTCTTAAGAGAAGGGGGCAGAGCATAACATAAAATGTAAAAACTTCCATTCCTTCTTGGCCTCCATAATCCTAATCCAAATGCCCACGGTTACCACCATCAAAGCTTACTTTGTTATCTTTCGGATGTTTAATGCCTGTGTGTCCTCTATCTGATAAGATACAGATTCTTAGTTCTGACCATCCTCTAACAGTGTGCTTACTTATTTGTTGTCTACAGTCCCCTCCAGAATGCAAGCTCCTTGAGGGCAGAGAGTTTTGTGAAATATTGCCTTTTCAGTGTCACATGTTATCTGTAGCGCAGGCTGTGCACACAGAGTTCACCCCATGGTATTGTGTTTGCTGAGTGAGTGAATGAAAGGACACATGTGAGCTACTTTTCCCATCGCCCTTATTCACTAATTGTCAAAAACTGCCCACATGTGTGCTTGCTTAGACTAACTGCATGGACCTGATCATTTAAAGAGTTAATAGAAGTTTGTTTATTACTGAAGGTATGAGAAAACTAAACCTTTATTAGAAAGGACAGATTTTAGTGTGGGACATAAAATCCAAAGAAAATTCATAAAAATAAATGACACTGAGAGTCCCCACCTCCTGTTGCATGTATGGAGTGTGTGCTCATAGAATACATTGCATCCATGGGAATCCTTAAGCGCCTTCCTCCCCATCTGCACTCCTTTCTGTGAGGTGGGGACTTGGCTTCAGCCTCATGATTGTATTTCCAGAGCCAGACAGAAACTGTTAGTAAATGTTTAGTGAATGAATGCATGAGCATGCTTTGCCAGGGACAGGAGGAGTGCTTGAATTCTAATGGTGTCCTGGTCTGCCATCTTAAAAAGATTCTGAGTTGTTTCGGGTTCTACAAGAAAGTGTTGTGATCTTTTATCAATGTCTAACATGGACACAAGTAGAGAAAGTGGTTGCACCAGAGCTGTATAGTTGCCACCTCTTTGCTACTCATGTGTGCTGTGTGTATAACCCCCAGGGCAGGTGTTCAAAAACTGTTTTTTGCCACTGTGGGGCGGTGCTACTGCTTACAGTGACACATATAAAAACCCCTAAGGCAGACAACCTTTCACATATTCCCTAGGTAAACTCATGAAATATGACTTTTGCTTAAATATCTCTTCATTCTGGCTCTCCCACCCCTCCCAGAGGCCATACCCACACTGCCTAACAGCACTGAGAGTGTCTGAATATAGAGCAGACAAGAATTCAACCTAGAAATCTTGTCTACCAAAAGATGACACAGTTTTATGATAATGAATAAATGTCACATGGAAGCTGAAAACTCCTTGCAGGCAACATCTCAACCTGAATATGTCCATTGGGTCCCCCAATGTGGTAGCAAAGGAAGCTGAGCTTGGATCCCGCCACCCTGTGGCCTGTGGCAACTCCTTGAGCCAGTGCTTTGGGGTCCTGTCCTCTTCCCTGGGTCCTCAGCAATGAAGGCCTCCTGACATCACCTGACTCTCCCTAACTCTGCTTACGGATTACCTGTAGCTATGAATCTGAATCCTTCAATTATATTGGAATTGACCGCTAATACCCACAAAGTTCTAATGGAAAATAAAGGAGGAAAACCTATTACTTCCTATTTGTTTTCTTTGTATATTACGATGTTTTCTTTCTATATATGCTTTTCCTGTCCAGCTGTCACTTTCAGGTTCTCTTAATTTAGTCACTATCTTATCTCCACTTCCTCTGTTGTCCAAATCAAAATCCCTTAGCTTATACTGTGCTTAAAAAATCTAGATATCTTTTTCTATATAAATCAATGGAAATTTGCTTGAAGTAATGGAATGTGCAAATAATTGTGTGGTTTTGTGTCCCCCTCCCATAAAGAAATAGATAACAAGTGTTTAATACCAACTGGATTAAATATTTTATGCTAAACATCTATGTGAAAGTAAAGTATTCACAATTATAGGAATAAATAAAAAGAATGCACAGTTTTGTGTATGCATGTGTGTGTGTGATGTGTGTTCAGCAAAGTTATTATTTCTTTTTCTGTTTTTTAAGGAAAATGAATAGGACTATTAGGTTTTACATTGCATTTGGGGGTACAAGTGATTTTAGCAGATCAGAGTGAGAATCAAACCCCAGTTTTTTGCCTAGGTGGGCTCTTCCATGAGTTATCTGCAAGTCTTTATACTTCTTATTTCTGTATTATAATATTGTTATGCCTGTCTCGATAAGCTCAAAATAGTCATGCTACTGTTGTTTATAGCAATTATAAATGTGAACTCAGCTCCACATGACAGCTAATAATTAATTTCAGCATAAATCAAGGAAAGAAAACAGCAGAAACCATCTTCCTGAATGTCTTTGGGGATCTTTTAACAGGGAAAACCTGTTTCTGAATAATGTCCCAACAAAATGCAAGAGCATGCAATGATAAAGGAGGAAATGGCTGCGAAAATATTTAAGCTTCTCTGGGAGACAAAGCACCACATAGTACAATGTTATTAAGTAGTGAATGGGTTGCTTTCTTCCCAACTCTATTATGTAAACTTCTAATGTCTAAAATGGTGCAAAATACTTTAAAAGATCCTTGTCTAGTCAAATGTATGATTTAAAATTTGTGTATTTTTTATTTTGTTCCCAGTACATGTAAGTTGTGTGAGTTATATAAAATTATGTAAATTAGGAATATTTAGAAAAAGA